TATAGCTTAGGCCCCACTCTCTTGGAAAGCCCCCAAAAAATTAAAGGGGAAAAAACCCCTGGATGTACATTTACAAAATATGCTAAAAAAACAAATAAAATAAAACCTACATACAGCAACAGTATTTTGTGTTGTGTAGGCTCCTATGATGTAAGTCATGGGCCCCCAATCATTTTAAGTTAGAGCTTAATAATTAATATTATTAATATTAATATTAATTATTAATATACTTCTTAATTGTATTTCGCTATTAATATACTTCTCCTTAACTGTATTTCACTTCAACAATTACTTTGATAAAATACACATTTTGTTCTGTGCAAATGGCTTTAGATACCCATTAGGTCCATCAATTACCATGTTCAACACGAATATGCGACAATTTGTTGTTGACAAAGGACAGCTGGACATATAAAAGGCCCCATTACCTTCAGGAGCTGAGGGTCTCATCAAACCTGAATCCGGCTCTGGGTGTGATGTGGTGAGAATCCTTCTATTCTGGAAACAGGATTTGGGGCGCCCAGGGCTTCCAGCTGGTCAGGAGGAAGTCTGGCCGGGCCGGTCCACCCAGGAGGGAAGATGAGGAAACTGCCTTAGGGGGCAGGATCCACAGGGGCAGCAGACCCAGCCTCCTAGGAACCCATCGCCTGCTGTCGCTGCTGCTGGTGGTCTCCATAGAGGCCAGACCTGCCTCTTCCTTGGCAGCCCCCACCCCTTGCCTCCTTCACAGCGGCCTCTTCTTGTTGTTGTTGAGTTGTTTAGTCGTGTCCGCCTCTTTGTGACCCCCCTGGACCAGAGCACGCCAGGCCCTCCTGTCTTCCACTGCCTCCCTCATGCTGGTCGCTTCGAGAACACTGTCCCACCATCTCGTCCTCTGTCGTCCCCTTGTGCCCTCTGTCTTTCCCAACATCAGGGTCTTTTCCAGGGAGTCTTCTCTTCTCCTGAGGTGGCCAAAGTCTTGGAGCCTCAGCTTCAGGATCTGTCCTTCCAGTGAGCACTCAGGGCTGATTTCCTTAAGAATGGATAGGTTTGATCTTCTTGCAGTCCATGGGACTCTCCAGAGTCTCCTCCAGCACCAGAATTCAAAAGCATCCATTCTTTGGCGATCAGCCTTCTTTATGGTCCAGCTCTCACTAGGCCAGTGTTTCTCCACCTGTGGGTGCCCAGATGTTGTCGGACTACAACTCCCATCATTCCCAGCCAGCATGACCAGAGGTCAGGGATGATGGGAGTTGTAGTCCAACAACATCTGGGGACCCACCGGTGGAGAACCGCTGCTCTAGGCAAAGAGGAGGAGCCGGTGGTACGTCCGCCCCAGGGAGGAAATGGCAGGAGGTGCCCTCTGGGGTTGCACTCACCGGAGGAAGAGGCAATGTTTTGTGGTTCCCCTCAGACGCCAAAGTGTCTTGGGGGCCCCAGATGCTGGAGCTGAGCAGGTGGGCTGAGAACAGCATTTGCAAATGTGTCCCTTGACCATAGCGGTCAACATTTCCCCCTTTTAAAAAGAGAAATTCCCTTATTCCGAATAGGATTCCTCGCAAGAAAAGGGAAAAGTTGACAGCTATGCCCTTGACCCACTGGGTGTCTGTTTCTCCTCTAAACTGGCACTCTCTCCTCTTTGCAAAGGTGGCGGCTCCTTGAGTCGCCCGATGGCCACATCCTTAGGGGCTCCTTCCAAATCTCATCAGCTGTGATCCCTGCATTACAGCGGGTTGGGCTAGATGACCACTGGGTGTCCTTCCAGCTCTACAAGCCTATGAGTTTCATCCTGGATTGTGGAGCCCTGAATCTTCTTTCCAAAGGGGAAGGGTGCCCTACCCTCAAAACTGCTTTGAAAAGAAAATCCAATTTTGTATCTGCATGTGCTGACTCTGCTTACCTCTTTGAGACAGCTTCCTGTCCATCACTTGTACTGTCAAAATTCAACAATGAAAATTAAAATAAAATCCCAGTTTTGCACCAGAGTGCTGTGTATTCACAGCTTGTTGAAGCTGCCTGTTCCTTCGAAGCTTTGTGCTTTCTCTGCACAACCCACCCTCCATATACTCCATTGCAAAGCCCATGTGCCCAGCACCCAGAGTCTTTCTGCTTGTAGGTTTTGGCTGCTGCAACCCTGAACCACTCCAATTAATACTGATTCAATCAGGACACACCCAAAGTCCACTCCTTTGAAGCTCCCAACCTCCAAACCAGAAGTGACAAAGAAGAGTCAATTGGTTAATTTCGCTTTCACTCAGTTTCGCATGTTTCCAGTCCAAAATTCACATCTCCACATTTCCAAATCAGTTCCCCCCCAAAAAAGGTCGTTGTGAAAATGAATCAGGATTTTAGTGCTAAATTCTCCAAATCAACACATATTTTGTATGCAATATTGCCTAATAAGACACATTTTTTCCAAGATAGGCAATGCATGTTTGTACGCTGTCCTCACTAATATACACACAGTTTGCACATTTCCGGAGGGGTTTAAGGCTCAGTCCCTTTTCCCAGGGAGCTCTGGGGTCTCCTATCAACTCTCAGCACCCTTAACAAACTACAATTCCCAGGATGCTTTGCGGGAAGCTATGACTGCCTAAAGTGGTGTGATAAAGCTTTAAAGGGATGGTGTAAATGTGGCCTGATGTACCAGACCGTCCACAAATCGTTCCTCTTAATCAGTCACTCTGCAACGCCTACCCAACATTAACACACTATTGCCATCTGAAGGGTCTTCCCTGTACTATAGCGAAACATCACCAGGATAAAATAAACAAACTCTGCACAGGAACATCGCCAGAGCCTGCTGGGTCAGCTGCCAAAAGGGGCCCATCCAGTCCAGCCTCCTGTTCTCACCGCGGCCGACCAGGTGCCTTTTTTGGAAAGCCCACAATCAGGATTCGAACCCAAGGGCAACTCTCCCCTCCTGCCGTTTCCAACAATGGGGAGATGGCTGGGAGCCACAGAGAGCAGTCTCCTCCTCCATGAATTTGTCCAATCCTCTTAAAAGCCATCCAAATTGGTGGCCCTTCCTGCAGGAAGGAGTTCCCACAGTGCTGTGTGAACCCATAGCGTCATAAAACTGTAGAGTTGGAAGTCCTTTTTTTATATACAGTACATCTGCCATGTGAAAAGTCACATTATTCATAGCTGTCAAGTGTCCCTTATTTGGCAGGACAGTCCCTTATCCCAGCGCCATGTCCCGCTGCTGTCCCTTATTGATGATGTCCCTTAAATAAGCTCCTGAAGGTAATGGGGCCCTTTCTATGTCCAGCTGTCCTTTGTCAACAACAAATTGTTGCTGTTTTTTTCTGTTGAATATATGCTATATGGTAATTTATGGACCTAATAGGTATCTAAAGCCATTTGCATGCAACAAAATATGTATTTTATAAAAGTAATTGTTGATCCTTTATTTTGGCTGCTGATCCATTATTTTCGAGGCTGCCGGTCCCTTATTTTCAAATCTGTAAGTTGACAGCTATGACATTATTTCAGTAGGAGGTTATGACAGGGCTATTTTTCTAGAAAAAGAGGGGCCAGAGCTCACCCTGAACTTCTCCCTTGCTCTCTTTGAATGGCCATGGCACCCACCTGAGAGAAGTTGGAGGGGAAAGCCCTGGAGACACACCAATCAGAAACCAAGCATGACGTCTGACCCAAAATCTGCTCAGGCCCAAAGCAGTATCAAAAGTGGGATCGTGGGCAACTTCCCTGATCCCAACATGAGCACAAAGAATTATGAAGGCCCAATAAAAAAGACACCTGGAGGGGTCCCTCCAGGGCAAGGTACTTTGTGCATGCTCAGAGGTACTTTTGTCCGTTATTTTCAACCCATCAGTTAATTACAGTCAACATACCAAAAATTAAAAAGTTATTATAACTGGAAGGTTGCAGAGTTTGGGACTGTAGGACTCACTCCTGCAGGGTTTCCCATAATAGGCATCTGGCTGGCCGCTGTGAGAACAGGACGCTGCTCTCTATGGACCATTGGCCTGACCCAGCAGGCTTTTCTGAGGGGCCTATGGAACCTCCAGGTCCAGAGGCAGTCTATCGAGGTCCGTGGGGGCCTTTGGTCATTGTGATGACAGAGTGGTGGACTTCATGGGCGATTGGCCTGATTCAGCAGTCTCATGTCCTGAGGGATAGCTCAGGCCAGGGCTGTCTTAAGCACATGTGGAGCCGGGGTGCAAATAAAAATAATAATCTATTATTTATACCCTGCCCATCTGGCTGGGCTACCACAGCTACTCTGGGCGGCTTCCAACCAAATATTAAAATACAGTAATACATCAAACATTAAAAGCTTCCCTAAACAGGGCTGCCTTCAGATGTCTTCTAAAAGTCTAGTAGTTGTTCTTCTTTGACATCTGGTAGGAGGGTGTTCCACAGGGCAGGCGCCACCACCAAGAAGGCCCTCTGCCTGATTCCCTGTAACTTCACTTCTTGCAGGGAGGGAACCACCAGAAGGCCCTCAGAGCTGGACCTCAGTGTCTGGCTGAGTGATGAGGGTGGAGACGCTCCTTCAGGTCTACTGGGCCTTTGAGGCCATTTAGGGCTTTCAAGGTCAGCACCAACACTTTGAATTGTGCTTGGAAATGTACTGGGAGCCAATGTAGGTCTTTCAAGACCAGTGTTATGTGGTCTCGGCGGCCACTCCCAGTCCCCAGTCTAGCTGCCACATTCTGGATTAGTTGCAGTTTCCAGGTCACCTTCAAAGGTAGCCCCACGTAGAGCGCATTGCAGTAGTCCAAGCGGGAGATAACTAGATCCACCCCCTCCAGTTGCCCAGTCCCAGGTGCGCAGGAGGACAGAGCTGGCTGGCCGCCTCAGCGTCTCGCTGGCTCAGTCGCCCCCAAACTCATGGCACACAGCCGCCCGCAGCAGAAGAGCCTACCGTGGCGCTTTGACCGACTGGCGGACTTTTCCCCGGACTCAACTTTCGGGCCCCACACTCTCGGCCTGGCGCCCCTGAGAGCCCGGCGGCCAGGTGCCCTGCACCCCTAGTGCCTATGGCTAAGACGGCCCTGGCTCAGTCAGTCGAGCATGAGACTCTGAATCTCAGAGTTGTGGGTTCGAGCCCCACGTTGGGTGAAAGATGCCTGCATTGCAGGGGGCTGGATTAGAAGACCTTCGTGTTCCCTTCCCACTCTACAATTCCATGATTCTCTGATTCTTAAAGCATCCCTGGGCTAAATCCTCTTCCAGGACTGAGTCCCAGCTCAGATTAAGACTTACCACCTCACCCAACCCTGAGCCCAGGGCACTTTTCCATCCACAGAGGAAAAGCTACCATGCCAGGGTCTCATAAATACAATTGGGTACTTCCATTTTCAGAATTCCCTCTTCTGGCCCCAAAGGGAGGCAGGTGCCAAATACACATATTTCCTCCCCCCCTTTTTGGAACTCTTAAAAATCTCCTCCTTAAAAAACATTTGCTTGGAGATGGTCCCAGGCACGAGGCTACAAGGAACGAGATCTCCTGCCCGCCTGCTGCCAAGGCAGATGGTCAACTCAGGTTTCGGATAAGAGATAGAAGAGGAGGTGGCTGGGGGAGGGGAGCAGTCCCATGGCCAGAAGGCTGGCATCGCCCCCTCAACCCCCCTCCTGAGAAAGGGCTCAAAGTCTCAGCCTTTTGGAGGATGCGCCGGCAAACTGAAAGTTAGATAAAAGACAAGCCAGTTTGGGAGCAGCGGCAGCTGCGCTAGTGAGGCTGGAGCAGAGGGTTCGAGTCAGAGATGTAGACAGTCCTGAGTTAGAAAGACCAGTGGCCTAACTGGGAAAGCCAGTCCTTCCTTCATGATCAGGAGGACTAGAAACTTGCCTCCTTTTAAGGGCTCAGTGGGAGAGCACCGACTTTGCAAGCAGAAGGTCTCAGATTCAATACCCAACATCTAAGAGTGGTTGTTGTTGAGTCGTTTAGTCGTGTCCGCTTCTTTGTGACCCCCTGGACCAGAGCACACCAGGCCCTCCTGTCTTCCACTGCCTCCCTCATGCTGGTAGCTTCGAGAAAACCATCCAACCATCTCGTCCTCTGTCGTCCCCTTCTCCTTGGGCCCTCCATCTTTCCCAACATCAGGGTCTTTTCCAGGGAGTCTTCTCTTCTCCTGAGGTGGCCAAAGTCTTGGAGCCTCAGCTTCAGGATCTGTCCTTCCAGTCAGCACTCAGGGCTGATTTCCTTCAGAATGGAGAGGTTGGATCTTCTTACAGTCCATGGGACTCTCAAGAGTCTCCTCCAGCACCAGTAATAATAGTAATCATCATCATCATCATCATCCTCCACCCGTCTGGCCGGCTTCCAACACCTATCAAAACCTATTCCCAGGTACAGCTGGGAATATCCCGTTTCTGAAACCCTGGAGAGCTACTGCCAGTCAGTGCATGCTAGATGGGTTCCTGGTCAGCCTGAAGCCACTTCCTTTGCCCCTCTTTCGCTCCTCTGGCCCATGAGCTCCCTCTCCTCTCAGCCCTCTCCTGGCTCTTTCACAGCAGAATGAACTCCCTGGGAAGACTCTCCTTCCTGGGAGATTTTTAAGCAGCGGTTGGGTGAGCATCTTCCTGCATTGCAGGGGGTTGGACTGGATGACCCTCGGGGTCCCTTCCAGCTCCACAATTCTGGGAGCTGATGGCCTTGACCTCCTTCCAGTCCTCCTTTGGACTTTGGTGTGCTGAGCCCAGGGGTAATCCGAGAAACACAATCCCGGTCTGGTCCAGAATCTGAAGGTTCTGCTGGGAGTCCGTCCGACAGGGCCAAGGCAGGATGCGAGGCAGGAATCCAGACAAGGTCAGGCACAGGATCTCAGGCAGGATCTGGTTTACAGCAATGTTGCTCCCGCAACCTGGGGTGGGGTCCGACAGCCTTTTATCTCTGTCAGGGTAACCACCGGTCCTGATCCCCTGGCGACTCACCTCCCCGTCTCGCCCGAAGGTGAGTACTCCTCCTGCAAGAACTCAGGTCTCTCCTTCTCTCAGACCTTCGTCTCTGCCGCTCGGGAGACGTCAGTGGGTTACTAGACCCAGAGGCCGCCTCAGCCTCCCATGACCCAACCAGTAGTGGAGCAGCTGTAAGTGATGGCCCAGCTGGAGGCAACGAGGGAATCCCCGCATCTGGAGCCAGGGCAGGCTCAGGCCCCTGACTCGGCCCAGCTGGGGTTTGTTGCAGGGGAACCTGTGCAGACTGGGACTCTTCAGAATCAGGCCCCAGACTTGGTTCAGATGATGCTTGAGGCACAGGATCCGGTGCAGACTGAGACTCCTCTGGTTCTGAGTCCGAGTCCCAGGCCATCACATTTGGGGAGGTAGGGAGAGGATGATGACCTCAACATCTTTCCAGCCAAGGTGAAGACATCTCCTTGGAGGATTTCCAAAGCTGACGGCGAAGGACTTTGGCGCCGGTGTCCTGAATTCCCCCTCGGGGTTCTTGCCTGCCAGTTCAATGCCCTTCTTGGAAGGTGGGGCCGGGAGCCGGAGGGCCAGCCGTGAAAGGAAACAGAGGCTCCCCCCCCCCAAGGGACACTTTCGGCCCTCCGCCATTTTGGATGACTCAACCCAAGGCCTCAGAAGACCCCACGGCCGTCGCCAAGGGGGACAATGGAAGCCGGCGCTCGGAAACTCGCCCCACACCTCTGTTTGGGCTCTGAGGACTGTGACCATCCCTTGGACCCATCGCAGCTTCCCCTTCATCCCCGACAAAAGGGAGATTTATCCTTGGGGCGCCCCCTGGGGAGCTTGGCAGCGTCGCCAACCCAGCCAAGAGGAAACCTTTCGTGCCAGGGAACCTGGAACATTGAGGCTCGGCTCTTTTTTGCAGAGGGAGGTGGGCAGGTTCCTCGGGACGATGGGGCAGGGGATTTTTTTTATTGGTGGGGGTGAAGGAGCAGCAATGCAACCCCCCAACCTCTTTCTCCCCAGAGAAAGCGCCACGCAGAGGTCTGGCCACTGGGGAGCAGCCATCGAAGCGCTTGGTTTCCATGGGATGCTTCCAAACAGTTGAGATGCCAAGATGAAAAGGGCCTTTCTTGTTTTCCGAGTTGCAAAGGGGGGGGGGATGTTTTCTGTTTGCAGGGAATGAGGTTAAAGGGGAGGGGGCGAGAGAGATGCTGGGGGGGTGAGCGGAGTGACTCAGTCGGAAACACACAGGGGTTTGTCTCTTGGCCTCTTTCATTTCCCCCTTTTATTTATGAAGCTGCACGCTAAACCCAAGAGGAGGAGGAGGCGAGGCAGCGATCACAGGATGCCCAGCGTCAGGGCCGGCACCACCAGCGGGACTCGGGGCCTGTGAGGTGGCAGAGCCAGGCTCGCCATGGCTTCTCCCTGCCTCCTGACTCGCCTTTTGGCCAGCAGTCAAGGGTTGCTCCCCTCCTCCCTGAAATGCAGAATGCGTCAGAGGCCGGAAGGAGCGACGAGAGGAAAGGAAGGAAACAGACAGAAAGGGAGAGGGAGATAAATATCTGTCTGTTCAGAATCTAGACTCATGGACTCAAAATCTGTAGAGTCGGAAGGGGTCCCCCAAAGGTCCTCTAGTCCAACCCCCTGCAGTGCAGAAATCTCAATTCCACTTTCAGGGGGGGTCTTCTTTTTCTTCTTTGTTTAACTGCATTATTATTAAAGGTAAAGGTAAAGGGACCCCTGACCATTAGGTCCAGTTGCGGACGACTCTGGGGTTGGGGCGCTCATCTCGCTTTACTGGCCAGGGGAGCCGGCGTACAGCTTCCGCGTCATGTGGCCAGCAGGACTAAGCCGCTTCTGGCGAACCAGAGGAGCGCACGGAAATGCCGTTTACCTTCCCGCCAGAGCGGTACCTATTTATCTACTTGCACTTTGACATGCTTTTGAACTGCTAGGTTGGCAGGAGCAGGGACCGAGCAACGGGAGCTCACCCCGTCGCAGGGATTTGAACCGCCGACCTTCTGATTGGCAAGCCCTAGGCTCTGTGGTTTAACCCGCAGCACCACCTGCGTCCTGCATTATTATTATTATTATTCTGCATTTCTATCCCACCTTTCCCTCCAAGGAACTCAAGGGGGAAAACATGGTTTGCCGCATCTTCATTTAACCCCCACAACATCCCTGCGAGGCGGGTTAGACCGAGAGACTGGCCCAAGGTCTCCTGAATGAGCTTCATGACTGAGCTGGGATTCAAACCCCAGTCTCCCAAGGTCCTATTCAGACACTCTAACCGCTAGGTAACACTGCCATCCCTCAGGAGGAGCCCAGGGTGGCAAGGCAAAGCAAAAGCATTCTCAGACAAATCAAAACATTCCGGAAACAAAGGGAATGGCAGCATCTAATTTCACCGTCACGGTGAAAAACATTCTTCCATCCGATGAACGTGGGTTTGCCAGGAACATGCAAAGTGCCTTCTGGATCAGGCCAGAGCCCCTCTAGTCCCGCCTCCTCTTCTCACAGTGGCCAAAGGCCCCTAGGAGCCTAGGAATCCAGATAGACTGCCTCTGGACCTGGAGGCTCCGAAAGGACAGCCTGGCTGCGGGATCAGGCCAAAGTGAGCCCATCTAGTCCAGCCTCCTCACAGGGGCCATCAGCAATGTCTAGGCAACACGATGACCATCTACATATGTAATAGACAATCTTTATAGAATTCCTTCAAACCGTAACAAGTACAAAATGAAATCTTTAGTCTCAAAGTCTCTGAAAATCTTTAAAGGCAGCGAGGTACTTCATTCAAAATAAGAAGGGGTATGTACTCTTTTTCATTACTGTTTGTATTGTAGTTTATAATTTTTGTAACATGAGATGTGCCTTCAGGTCATCGTCTGTAAAATCTTAATTTTCAGTTTATGAAGCAATTCTATATCCTCCCACCAGACTGACAAAGAATTCTACGAAACAGCAGTCAATATCCGGAATCACTGTTCAGTGTTGGACATCATATTTGCCGAATACACAAAGCTTCACAACTTGTCTTTCATTGTACGAAGTTTGGTACCTCGCTTCGTTTAAAGGTTTTCAGAGACTTTGAGATTAAAGAATTCATTTTGTACTTGTTATGGTTTGAAGGAATTCTATAAAGATTGTCTATTGCGTATGTACATGGTCATCGTGTTGCCTGGACATTGCTGACGTTCTCTTTGCAACACAGGGGTTTGCTTGGTTACCAGATGCCCTAAAAGGGAAATCCATAAGCAGGACTCGAACACAAGACCAACTCTCCCCTCCTGTGGTTTCCAGCACCTGGTATTCAGAAGCACGGCTGCCTCTGACCGGGGAGGGAAGGCAGAGCAAAGCCATCGTGGCTGGTAGCCCTCAATAGAACTCTTCCGTGAATTTATCTCATCCTCTTTTAAAGCCATCCAGGTTAGCGGCCATTGCTGCCTCCAGTGGCAGGTAGTTCCACGGGAAGGAGGACTTTCATTTATCTGCCCTGAATCTTCCACCATTCAGCTTCATGGCGCACCCAGGAGTCCTAGCACTACAAGGGAAAGACTTTTCCCTGTCTAGGTTCACAGAGCTTGGGTGCCGGGGGGGGGGAGCAGAGAGGGGGCTCAGCCAGGCTGAGAAACTTCTCCCCCCCCAAAAAAAATGCTGGCTTTGGTCGCTCTATGAGCAGGAGCTGTCGAGACGCTGTTCCAGCTGCAGGGGCTGATCCTGACAGCCTCCAATGGAGCCATCTCAGCCTTGTGTGCAAAATTGAATGTGAGGCGGATGTTATGAAAGGGGAGCTGAGTCTGGCAGAACGAGAGGCCAGCGGGGCAGAGAGAGACAGAAAGAGAAGGAGAGGAAGAGAGAGAGAGAGAGATGGGGGTGTCGTCTCCTCCGAAAGGGAGGGTGCAGGATCAGGCCGAGGGACAGATGTCACTCTGGATCAGACAGGACCGGGGCTGACTTCACAGATGTTTGTGCTTTTGTCAAGACGTGGCCCCAGGCTGCTTCAGGAGAAGCAGCATAGAATCATAGAAGTGTGGAGGGACCCCGGGGTCATCTAGCCCAACCCCCCGCAATGCTCTGCCAGCATCAGTGGGAGTTAAACTGTGGAACTCTCTCCCTCAGGAGGCATGGAGGGCAGCCAACTTGCACGGTTTTAAACTGGGCAAACTGGTTATGAGGCCCACAGCCCAGCTGGGGGGAAGATTCCCAGTGGCTCTCATGGCTCAAACAATCAAAATCGGGGGGGGGGGGCATTTTTGCTTTAATCAAATGAAACAAGCAGGCAAACAATAGTTCCTGTTTGGAGAACATTCCCCCGAAGTCGTTCTCTTCAGAATGAGTCAGCCTCTTGCCTTCTCATTCAAGTTAGCCCTTCATCCTCCAGCACCATGAGGACTAGTACCTTTATCTGTAAGAGAAGCTCTGCAGTGCAGAAGCAGAACGCCTGGTTTGAATGCAGAAGGTCCCAGGTTCCATCCCTGGATGGGGCTGGGGAAAGACTCCTCTTCTGAAATGCCGGAGTGTGGCTGCCGGTCTGTGTAGACAAAGCAGTATAAACTACTTTGAGGATCAAAACAGCAACAGCAACAATCCAGCCTTATACGTATTTTATGAAATAAACAAAAGGATTATTAAAAGGCAGCTTCCGATGTTCTCTTTTAAATCACTCCTTCATGAGGACTAGAATCTTCATTTTCAGGGGAAGGGCGGCAGCCCAGTGGTAGAGCACTTAACTTTGCCAAAGGAAAGGCATCCGCTTCAATCCCCAGCAATATTTCCGGGTTTGGGGGGGGGGAGGACACACTCCCTGCCCGAACCCCCCAAGAGCCGCTGCTGCCGGTCAGTGCAGACAGCCCTGGGCCAGGTGGAGCAGTCGTCTGGTTGAAGCCCTTTCCTGATGGAACCCCTATGTGGGATTAGTATATAACTTTTCCCTCGGCTTTTTTCGCTGTCTCATGTAGGACCAGCATGGATAGTTGGCCCCCGGTGAATATGTGACGTTTTCTCCCCCTATGGCTTTGATCTATATTGTTGTTGAGTCGTTTAGTGGTGTCCGCCTCTTGGTGACCTCCTGGACCAGAGCACGCCAGGCACTCCTGTCTTCCACTGCCTCCCGCAGTTTGGTCAAACTCATGCTGGTAGCTTCGAGAACACTGTCCCACCATCTCGTCCTCTGTCGTCCCCTTCTCCTTCTGCCCTCCATCTTTCCCAACATCAGGGTCTTCTCCAGGGAGTCTTCTCTTCTCCTGAGGTGGCCAAAGTATTGGAGCCTCAGCTTCAGGATCTGTCCTTCCAGTGAGCACTCAGGGCTGATTTCCTTCAGAATGGAGAGGTTTGATCTTCTTGCAGTCCATGTGACTCTCAAGAGTCTCCTCCAGCACCAGAATTCAAAAGCATCCATTCTTCGGCGATCAGCCTTCCTTATGGTCCAGCTCTCACTTCCATGCATCACTACATTTTAAACTGTATTCTAACTTATATTTTAATCAACAGTTTTTTGTGTTTTTTAAAAATGTTTTTACTGTATTTATATTCAGTGTTAGGCACCCTGAGCCCAGTCTTGGCCGGGGAGGGCGGGGTATAAATAAATAAATTCTTCTTCTTCTTCTTCTTCTTCTTCTTCTTCTTCTTCTTCGCAGCAGCAGCAGCCAGGGGGGCTCCAGCCCACCAGAGTTTGCACAGCATCGCCTCCAGAAAACGTTGCAGCGGATGGGAAGGGGGGGGGCTTTTGGAAAGATGTCTGCAGCCGGAACCCAGAAAGAGCATCGCCACCAGCCTTTTGCTCGCGGTTTCATTCGGTTACATAAGAGCAAGTGGAAAATAGGCAGCCACCGAGTGCCCAGTTTTATGGCGCCACCTGCTGGCGCAAAGGGGAGAGGCTGCAGTTTGTTATGGGTGCTGAGAGCTGTTAGGATTCCCTGGAAGGTCTGTGATTCCTGAGAAGAGAGACGGGTGGTTGGGCCATTCTGGGAATTGTGTCTCTGGGAGGAAGAGGAAGAGAGGATCTCCCCCAACAGCTCTCAGCACCCTTAAGAAACTATAACTCCCAGGATGCTGTGGGGGAAGACATGCGTCTTTAAAGTGGTCGGGGGGGGGGGGCTGCTTTAAATGTAGGCCCTGTATGCATTTAAGGCCGTATCAACCCACTTTTAAAAGCTTTGGGTAAAATTAAGTTGCCTCCCAATGAACACCTCTAAAATAACCGACAAGAAAATGCCACAAGCAGGAAGGGTTAGTAGGGTTAGTTGGGAGCCGTCTCCTCCTCCTCTGCAAATTTGTAAAATCCTCTTTTTAAACCACCTACTCTGCCATAGGACTGACAAAACACACTGAAAATGTGATTCATTCCTTCTTTGCTTGACTCCCCTATGGGGAACAGTATCTTCAGGCAATGCAGAGCTAAACTTTGGAACTTCTTGCCACCGGAGGCAGTGACGGCCATCAACCTAGATGGCTTTAAGAGAGGAGGAGACACACTCCCAAAGGCTGTTGGTGGCTACTAGCCAGGGGGTCTATGTTTCACTTCCATAGTTGGAGGCGGCAACGGTTCCCAGTGGCTGAAAACCACAGGAGGGAAGAGGGCTCTCGTGTGTAAATCATGTTTGTGTGTTTCCCATAATAGACATCTGAATGGCCACTGTAAGAACTGGTGACTGGGAGCGGCCGCTGAGACCACATAACACCTGTCTTGAAAGACTTACATTGGCTCCCAGTACGTTTCCGAGCACAATTCAAAGTGTTGGTGCTGACCTTGAAAGCCCTAAATGGCCTCAGCCCAGGATACCTGAAGGAGTGCCTCCACCCCGGACACCGGGGTCCCTCTCTCGAGGGCCTTCTGGCGGTTCCCTCCCTGTGAGAAGCCAAGTTACAGGGAACCAGGCAGAGGGCCTTCTCGGTGGTGGCACCCGCCCTGTGGAACGCCCTCCCATCAGATGTCAAAGAGATAAACAACTATCTGACGCTCAGAAGACATCTGAAGGCAGCCCTTTTTAGGGATGCTTTTAATGTTTGATGCATTACTGTATTTTAACATTTAGTTGGAAGCTGCCTAGAGTGGCTGGAGAAGCCCAGCCAGATGGGCAGGGTATAAATAATAAATAATAATAATAATAATAATAATAATATAAGATGCTGGACTAGATGGGCCCCCTTGGTCCTGACCAAGCACCCAGGCTCTTCTTATCTTCTCACGGAGCTTCCAGGTGTAGAGGAATTCTACCTATAGTCTTAGGTTCTTATGGGTACCTGCCCACTGTGAGAACAGGACGCTGGCCCGGCTGGCTCTTTATATGTTCTGGTGTCAGTCCTCCCATCTGACCGCGTCCTCTTTTCCTTTTCTCCTCTCCCCGCCGGCCAGATGACATCGTCCACCAAGGTGTACTACAGCCAGACGACGCAGACCGACAGCCGCCCCCTGATTGGCTCCACCCTGCGCAAGAGGCGGGTCATGACGAAGGACGGGAGGAGCAACGTCCGCATGGAGCACATCGCGGACAAGAGGTTCCTCTACCTGAAGGACCTGTGGACGACCTTCATCGACATGCAGTGGCGCTACAAGCTGCTGCTCTTCTCCGCTTCCTTCGCCGGGACGTGGTTCATCTTTGGGGTGATCTGGTACCTGGTGGCCGTGTTGCACGGGGACCTCCTGGAATTCGACCCTCCCGCCAACCACACCCCGTGCGTCATGCAAGTCCACACCCTCACCGGGGCCTTCCTCTTCTCCCTGGAGTCCCAGACCACCATCGGCTACGGCTTCCGCTACATCAGCGAGGAGTGCCCGCTGGCCATCGTCCTGCTCATCAGCCAGCTGGTCCTCACCACCATCATGGAGATCTTCATCACGGGCACCTTCCTGGCCAAGATCGCCCGTCCCAAGAAGAGGGCAGAGACCATCAAGTTCAGCCAGAACGCCGTGGTGGCCCAGCACGACGGCAAGACCTGCTTGATGATCCGAGTGGCCAACATGAGGAAGAGCCTCCTCATTGGGTGCCAGGTGACCGGCAAACTCCTCCAGACCTACCTGACCAAGGAAGGTGAGAACATCCGGCTCAACCAGGTCAACGTGGACTTCCAGGTGGACACGTCCTCCGACAGCCCCTTCCTCATCCTGCCCCTGACCTTCTACCACGTGGTGAACGAGAGCAGCCCCTTCCGGGACATGGCCTTGCGCACCGGGGAAGGAGACTTTGAGCTGGTGGTCATCCTCAGCGGCACCGTGGAGTCCACCAGCGCCACGTGCCAAGTCCGGACCTCCTACCTCCCCGAGGAGATCCTCTGGGGCTACGAGTTCACCCCGGTCATCTCCCTTTCGGCCAGCGGGAAATACGTGGCCGACTTCAGCCTCTTTGAGCAGGTGATCAAAGTGGCGCCCCCTTGCTGCCTTCACGAGACGGTGCGGTACGGGGACCCAGAGAAACTGAAGCTAGAGGAATCCTTTCGGGAGAAAGCAGAAAGGGAAGGAACCCCCTTGAGCGTCCGGATCAGCAACGTTTGACCCTTCGGAGGACTTGTGAGGCCTGTGTTATACGAGTATTGCATCCGAGTGTCTTCATTAGCTTCCAGACTTCCTTACACCCTTCTTTCTGTGGCTGCATTTTCTCTCTCTCAAACTGCAGGATGAGCAATCTGTTCTTCTCTTTAGGAATCTGCTAAAGGAACGCAAAGGTCAGCTCCCCTCCTGGCACAGCAGCTCACAGCTAGTGCCAGAATTCAAGGTCTCCTCCGTGGTTTTGACCAACTGCTGGAAGTATACATATCTTTAATTGTGTTTCTTTCTTAAATACAAATAATTGTGCAGTCATTGTTCAGGGGGCCACCAGGTCGTGGTTTTTAATAGGAGGCAGAGGCACACGTACCAGCAACACTATTGTGTCGAATGCTTTTTAAAATATAAATACATGGAGTTTTCTTTCTCTTTTTGCCTTGGAAACTCTTACCACAAAGATTAGCTTTTAATGCCAACCTAACCTGAAAGATACTGACGGATGCATGAGAAAGGGAAACACAAAGATTGGGACAGAGCACTGGGAGTGCCCCACCGCACCAGGCTCTGTGAAATGGAGGGTGTAAATCCTACTAGCGCAAGCTGTGCAAATTAATATTCTGTTGTGGTCACCATGGGATACCTCGGATGAAGCTGGAGAACACATTCACAGCAGTTATGCCTGGCAATCTGCATTCAACAAACCCACCAGACCTCAACAATTTGCAATTCAGAAGCAGCCCTTCGAAGTTTGGAAACACACCCCAGCCCTTGATATTTAATGCACAGGCATCGTATGGCAAAGCAGAACCTTAAGAATTATCGTGTGACCTCCTGGAGGTCTGATGACTCATTACAAAGCACACCCACCCACCCACTTTTAAAAAAATTAAAAATGCATCCTCCCTGATCTTAAAATACGGAAGTGGAAAGGGAAGACAAGCAGATTTCGTTTGAAAGCTTTGTAAGAATTGGAACCTGGATGTCTGTCCATTCATAAAGTTGCACTGCAGTGTGAGAGGAATGTCCTGTTAACAAACCGGAATGTGTTGTCATGATCCTTGTTTTTCAATGCTAGAGAGCTTCCAATCCCGGGACTATAGAAGGATCAATGACTCTTTAGCTACCCAGCAGCCTAGGGTGCCTATGTTGAAAACACCAGGCAGAATGCAGGTAGAGTCCGAAAAGAACGCAGGTGTTTCTGTCTCCTGAATCCTGCTCCTTAAAGCAACAGGTGAACCTCTGATCACAACAGACCTGCTGTACTTCTTGTTATTATTACTGTAAATTCTCAACATCAAAAATGCTGAACTTCGGAGCCAAGGAGATGAGTAAGAAAGAAGACCTTGTGGAGAACATATTTATCCTCTTTGACCTCCCATCTGTGGCATTTCCCAACTGAGCAGAGAAAGGACTTTGTGTGTGTGTTGATATGAAGATGGCTTATTGAAAAGGAACGAGGCCAGTGTTGTCTGTCTGTGATGGGACACACACAAAAAGTCATGGTGTACCAATCTGAAGACTGGTCTGACAGACAGACAGTCCCTGTTAAAAGACCTGCCCCACAGGCCCTGCATCTTTGTAAAGCTAACACACTCGCAAAATGGGCTTTTAACACAGATCCATCAGAACGCAGCTCTCAAGCGCTTTTGCTTCTTTTAAGTACAGGGCGAATCTCCCAGCGAACGGAACTGACAGCAAATTCCCCAAAAGTTCTGCGGAGTTAGCTCGCTTCTGCACAACCCTGTTTATTGAGCACTCATCCTGATCTGTTTGCGGGGAGGTCAGATGCCGTTGCGCCACAGCAAATGCCATCCTGCGCTATCCATGCATTTCCCTGTCACTTTCCTTCCTGCGAAAAAGCCCGATCTTTTGGGGAAGGGGGCTGGTCATGCGAGACTCTAATTGAGCAACTGGAATTTCCCAATATGTGATCTGATTCCCACCCGAAAACATGTGCCTGTCTGGAAGCAGAGGTCAATCATAAGACTTGTGAACCCAGGAACAACCTCTTCACCAGGGTAAAGCTGAAGATTTTCCAGGGAGGATGAGATACTGTTTGCTTTTCTGTGGCTGGTTAGGTCTCTGTTGTCATTGCAGCCGAACGGAGCCTTCCAGCGGAAAGGAGCTGGATTTTGGGGGCCTGGGGGTGGGGTGGGGGGCGGTAGGAGGCCAATGATTTTTTTTTATCTCCCAGAGGCCTCCAAGGCTGTCTGAAGTTGGGGTGTGTGGGTGGGGAGACCCACAGCTGTGCAGAAACTGTCCCAAACAGCTACTTCTGGCTAGATCAAATAGCATTGTGGGTCGTGGGGGTGGAGGAGTTTGAGGGTGGCTAACGGCTCGGTTTTTTAGGAGTCAGATCGTCATGGGCCTAAGATGGTTTCTTACAGGAACAAATTCTAAAACGGTTGTTACATGCATCAAAAAAGAGGGAGTCACTTCCTCTTCGTAGAAAGAAAGTATCTATTGAAATATATAAATCTATTTATATAAATGAGATATATATAGTTATTTGTAAAAGAAAGAGAGAGTGTGTGTCATGGAGCTATTTTGCACTTTGTCGGAAAGAAGTTGGATTCAAAAATTGCTATCGGAGCCAAAAAGAAAAATGGAGGAAGGAAGCAAATCCAAGATGTTCCAGGCATCTTTCCTTTCATTCCTTCCTTCCTAAATTCTACTGGGCCCAGTGTGGAAATTCCTGCCCCATTCTCTGAAATGAGTCACTGATATTTCTGCAGTGGGAGTGGGGTGGGCAGCTTGTTTAAATTGGGGTCTAACCAAAGTTGGCCCAAAATGTTTTACTGTTGAGCAAAGGGTGATTCCATCAATTCTGCATTACCGGGGTGGGGGTGGACCAGATGTCCTTTGGTGTTCCTTCCAACTCGACCACTCTGTGATTCCATGAACAAAAGCCAAGAAGAAGGGCAGTTGACCCTTTCTTCAATGCTGGCAAGGGGTCCCAGTGAGGAGGGCAGCCTAGCTTAGGGGCGGCAAGACCTGGCTGTGTGGCAAACACCCCGTTTGGCTCTCCAGCAGGTGATGTTGGAGAATCCCAAGGAAAACATTCCCTTATGTCCAGAACAAAAATCAATCTGGCAAACACGATTGAGATTCACTGTTGCTTTCACTCCACAAACATTTATGTAGATGATGCCCTTCCCAGTTCACATTACTTTTTCTTGCATTGATACAAACAGAGTGCAATAACAATGTCATCGATTAATTACATAGATTATGTCATTCCTCCATGGTGAAATGAAGGCTGGGATTCCTGCGTTGCAAGGGGTTGGACTGAAGCAGAGCTGGCCGTGACCCACAGATGAAATTCCACTGTTACGATGGGAGTGTGTGATGTGGTTGGAATGAGGAATCTCTCTCCCGCTGCTCTGCCACAAGTTGCACCCGGGTTTTGGAGGCAACGGCTGGCAAAGCCCAACTTTTGCAAGGAAGCGTCACCCCAGCGCCATCGTGCAATTATTTTTGACTCATCCTTTCAGTGCAGTGATGCAGCCACACAGGGAGCTGCGTCGTACGTGGGGTCATGCTACTCCTCCATCTCCCATTGCATGTTTTCCTGGCCACGAAACAAAGGGTCCATCTGTCTGATAAGCTGCTCTGTAGAGACGCTGTCGTATGGACTTGCCCCGAGTTCAGATCCCGCTTCAAGAAGTGACCTGGATCAAGGGCCAACGATTGAGCCCGAGTTCCTGGTCTTTAAAATACATTGCATTTCCTCCCTCATCGTCGAAATGTAAGAATCCATCATGGAGAAGCCATCAGTTCCACGATTCCCAAATAAGTGAACTGTGGTGGGGTGTGTGTGTGTGTGTGAGAGAGAGAGAGAGAGAGAGAGAGAGAGAGAGAGAGATTTAGGAGGATCACAAGAATCTGATTAAATCAGACACAATGGATTCCCACCACAATTGGTCATTAATGAGATACAGAATGTAGTTAGGCGATGCTCCAAAAAGGGTTTTAGTAATGGGATCAGCTTTCAGGGTTGTGTTTTTTTGCAGGGTCTGAATGGCAGTGCCATAAAAATGCCAACCCATATCCCCAAACACACATTAATTTTCCTTTTCAGGGGGAAATCTGGTAAATTAAAAAAACCTGTTGCCAATGACCTGGTTGTGATACCTCAACCACCTGTTTACAGGATTACGCCCCCATTTGAGAGCCGGTGGTGCTGTGGTGAGTGCCGGACGAGGAGCTGGGAGAGACCAGGGCTTGAATCCACATGAAACTGACTGGGTATAACGTTGGGAGCCAGTCCCTGTTTCTCTCAGCCCAACCTACCTCACAGGGTTGTTGTGAGGATTAAACAAGGAGGGAGCAAACCATGTGGAGTGGAAATGCCAGAAATAAATAAATGCGTATAATAGCACCCTTTCAGAGTACAATATTTACCAAAAAAATAATAATAATAACCCTATTTGCCATTTTCCTATTAGCAAGAAAAGGCTGTGGGTATGTTTAACTAAGCATGTATTAAAAGAATCTCAACCCCTAGAAAAAAGGGGGATCTTTAGCGCTGGCTGGCTGGCAACTCAAGCAAACCATGGCATTAATTTCTCAACTATTGGTGGCTGGGTGTTTGTGGGGCTGAAGGTGGTCAAACAGGCCAAATGCTTCTTGATAACGGAATTGAGCTTCGTGTTAACTTGATTTTGTTGTTGTTATTGTTGTTAAAGAAAGAGAGAGACTTTATTTTGTGCCTGACATAATTATGTACTGTACTTCATAAATATGAAGATTTGTATCCACCGAAGAAGACTTTGCACTAAAAAGAAAAGGTCCAATTTGGGGGGGGGCGTGAGGGGGTAAGCGAGAAAGAGAGAGACAGGGAGCTGTGGTATTTCTTCTGTTTAGAACAAAGTCATTCAATAACAATAAAAAGAAATCAGATTTTAAAGTTTGTGTTGTTTTAATGGATGGTGACGTGGTCAGTCCACTCCTAATTTAGCTGCGATTCCTGCACTGCAGTCAGGGGGTGGACTAGATGCCTCTGGGAGCCTCTTCCAACTCCAGTTCTGTGATTCTACACGTGTATCTTTGTTCAGTGATGAACAGGTGCAAAACCAGGAGTATGCTACCACTCAGTGGATTTGTAACTGGCTGACTGACCGAACCCAAAGGGTGCTCATCAATGGTTCCTCTTCATCCTGGAGAAGAGTGACTAGTGGGGTGCCACAGGGTTCTGTCTTGGGCCCGGTCTTATTCAACATTTTTATCAACGACTTGGATGATGAACTCAAGGGCATCCTGATCAAATTTGCAGATGACACCAAATTGGGAGGGGTGGCTAACACCCCAGAGGACAGGATCACACTTCAAAACGACCTTGACAGATTAGAGAACTGGGCCAAAACAAGCAAGATGAATTTTAACAGGGAGAAATGTAAAGTATTGCACTTGGGCAAAAAAATGAGAGGCACAAATACAAGATGGGGGACACCTGGCTTGAGAGCAGTACATGTGAAAAGGATCTAGGAGTCTTGGTTGACCACAAACTTGACATGAGCCAACAGTGTGACGCGGCAGCTAAAAAGCCAATGCAATTCTGGGCTGCATCAATAGGAGTATAGCATCTAGATCAAGGGAAGTAATAGTGCCACTGTATTCTGCTCTGGTCAGACCTCACCTGGAGTACTGTGTCCAGTTCTGGGCACCACAGTTCAAGAAGGACACTGACAAACTGGAACGTGTCCAGAGGAGGGCAACCAAAATGGTCAAAGGCCTGGAAACAATGCCTTATGAGGAACGGCTAAGGGAGCTGGGCATGTTTAGCTTGGAGAAGAGGAGGTTAAGGGGTGATATGATAGCCATGTTCAAATATATAAAAGGATGTCACATAGAGGAGGGAGAAAGGTTGTTTTCTGCTGCTCCAGAGAAGCGGACACGGAGCAATGGATCCAAACTACAAGAAAGAAGATTCCACCTAAACATTAGGAAGAACTTCCTGACAGTAAGAGCTGTTCGACAGTGGAATTTGCTGCCAAGGAGTGTGGTGGAGTCTCCTTCTTTGGAGGTCTTTAAGCAGAGGCTTGACAACCATATGTCAGGAGTGCTCTGATGGTGTTTCCTGCTTGGCAGGGGGTTGGACTCGATGGCCCTTGTGGTCTCTTCCAACTCTATGATTCTATGATTCTATGAGTATTTTGAGTGTGTTGATCCCTCTTCTCTCCAGGTAGAGGAGTAAAAAGGCCCATTTGCCTAAAACTCTCCCTTTCTCTCTCCTGACCAGAGCACCTCTGGAAATGCAACTGGATGGCACTGGTTGACAACGACCTCACCAGTGTCGCCAAACCGCTTGTGACCCTCTTCCCCGATGCAATGTGAAAAAAGTAATCCAAATTGCACTTTGTAGATCTGGGTCTGCAATGTGAAGAAATGTTAGGGCACCGAGTTAATGGTTGCACTCCACGGTCCTGACAGGCGAGGGTGACTTCTTTGCTGGGCAAGAACACTGTTGCCATCCTCACCCACCTACAATTTAATTAAAGTCTCATAAATTTAAATATGTACAGTGGTACCTCTGGATACGAACAGGATCCGTTCCGGAGCCCCGTGCGCATCCTGAAGTAAATGCAAGACGCGACTGCGCGTTTGTGCGTGCTGCGTTTTGCCGCTTCTACGCATGCGTGTGACGCCATTTTGAGCATCTGTGCATGCGCCAGCGGCGAAACCTGGAAGTAACGCACTCCGTTACTTCCGGGTCGCCGCGGAGCGCAACCTGAAAATACTTAACTTGAAGCTACTTCAACCCGAGGTATGACTGTACACAGCCACTGCTACAGTTTCCCCACACTGTGAGTTCGTTGATGGGTTGTGAGATTGTCGCTACGACGAAAGCTCTTGCCACATTCGAAGCACTGGTATGGTTTCTCCCCGCTGTGAATTCTTTGGTGGAAAATGAGCGTGTGCCTGTGACTGAAGCTCTTGCCGCACTCCAAGCACGGGTGCGGCTTCTCTCCGCTGTGAGTTCTCTGATGGGTAGTGAGGTGGGTGCTCTGGCTAAAGCTCTTCCCACACTCCTGGCACTGAAAAGGTTTCTCCCCGGTGTGGATTCTCTGATGGGCTGCGAGGTTGGCCCTGTGGCCGAAGCGCTTTCCGCAGGCCAAGCAAAGGTACGGTTTCTCCCCGCTGTGAGTTCTCCTGTGGGAAGTGAGAGAGGTGCTCTCGCTGAAGCTCTTCCCACACTCCAAGCACTTGTAGGGTTTCTTCCCCTTATGAATTCTTTGATGGGAAGTGAGCCATTTCTTCCAGGCGAAGCTCCTTCCGCATTCCAAGCACTGATGTGGTTTCTCCTCTGTGTGAACTCTTTGATGGGAAGCGAGGGTGCGCCTGTATCTGAAAACCTTTCCACATTCCAAACACATGTATGGGTTCTCTCCGCTGTGAGTTCTTTGATGGGTGGTGAGATGGGCGCTCTGGCTGAAGCTCTTTCCACACTGCCGGCACTGAAAGGGTTTCTCCCCGGTATGAATTCTTTGATGGGTTGTGAGGTTGGCTCTGTGACTGAAGCTCTTTCCACATGCCGAGCAATGATATTGTTTCTCTTCTCTTTGAGTGCTTTCCTGGGAAATGAGATGGACCTTCTTACAGAAGCTCTCACCACAACCCAAATATTTATGTAGCGTTTCCATTATGCGGATTTCTAACATTTCACCACCTGCAATGAAGAGAAAAACAGATTAGATCCTCAGGAATCCCCCAATGATGGAGAAATGCAAATGAAAGATTGTTATAGACAAAGAACTGGAGATATTTAGATGTCAGAGTTCATGGTTTTCATTGACTAGTAATTAGAGACCTATTTATGGGAACTTTAGATTTTAAAAGCCTGACACTTTTCTGGGAGAGTTTGGCTCAATCATGTGATCCACTGCATCTCCAGGGTCAGTATTTAGTCAAACAAAAACGGACAGAAGCAGAAACGGAAACCTGACAGAATCTGCATCCGCTAGCCTAACAACTCTGAATCCTATATTTTAAATGGCCTAGAGATCAGACTAGGCTGATCATTGTTATTTGACTTTCCTCTGTAAAGTTTTATTCTGGATTGTTTTAGTTGACTTTTAATGTAGGTTGCAAACTGCTTTGAGAGTCTTTTCTTAAAAATATAGAGTGGTATAGAAATGAAGTGCGTGATAGTAATAACAACAACTGGAGAAAGAATATTCAAAGCCCAAACAGGAGATAGTTTGGGGAGTGCTAGAATCCCAGAGGCTGCTGCTGCTGAGCTCCATCCAAATACGGAAGGGATGTCACAGAGAGAAATGCACTGAATTTCAAAACAGAGACCCTGATCCAACAGGGAGCCTTACTGAGAAAGTCCACGATCCCACGGTTCTCCGCCATGACTTCCTTATGCAGAGCTCTCTGGTCAGGATCCAGCAATGCCCACTCCTCGTCCGTGAAAGAAACGGCGACGTCTTCAAAGCACACTGAACCCTGAAAGAGAAAAGGAAATGTCCTCCACTCAGACAGCAGGAAGATGCTCTACTGCACTTTGCTCCGGGGTTTTCTGCCTGTTGGTTACTTTTCAGGGATTGTTTTCCTGCACATTTTTATTATGGATGCTTATTTTAAGGTATCAAATGAATTCTTCTCTTGCGGCTTTTAATGATGGGTATCACTCATGGTTCAAAGGGGCAGAGGTCAACATTGTGGTCCTCGTGTCATTCTGCCTGCGCAAAGCATTCCAGTCTACCGGAGAGAAGGATCCCCTCTGTCCTCTCCCTGGACGCTGTTCTTGGGGGAAGCCTCCCGACGCCCTAAAGCAAACTTCAAGGGGCGAATGGGGACATTGGAGGAGAGAAGAGAGTGGGGCAAAGCCCTGCTGTGAAACGGATGGGGCAGCTTAGGTGAATCCTGGCCACTGCTATTCATGGTTTGTCAACTGCTTAGAAGCCTATTTCAGCATTCAGTGACAACTTTATAAAGAAAGCAGCAACAACGGAGCAACATTCAGAAGGTTAGCTGAGGTGAGGCAGCTGCTCCTTATTCTCAGCACAGAAACCTTCCTGAATGGCCTTTCCAGCTTTTGTGAAGGGCAACTGTGACAGAAGCCAAGTGGAGCAGGAGTGAGACTCATCACTGGGGCCCAGAGGCCTCCTGGCTGCCCCACTCCTCAGCCTCGTGACCCACACGGCTCCTTCCCCCTACCTGATCCGCTTCCACAGCCACCGCTTCCCCTCTGACACCATGAACAGATGGAGGAGGTTTTGCCGAAGTCTTTCTGTCACCTGCGGGAGACAAAGGTAAGGTCTAGCAGAGCATCTCTTACTACAGATGGGCTTTAGAAAAACCTCGCTGAGTGCATTTGGACATTTATACCCATTTGGTAGCTCAGTTGCGTACATATTGTAAATCACCCTGAGACCTCTGGGTATAGGGTGGTATATAAATTCAGTAAATGAAATATACGTCTCTCCTCCTTGGGGCTATTGGCTTCAATTGTTTTCCCCCAAACGATTCAAAGAACTCACAGGTGAGTTTCAGAACCCACAGAATGTGATCAAACAGAGACAAACCTCATCCTTCCTCCTTACCCAGTGGCCTCTCTCTGGCGTCCAGCTGAGTCCTCTCTGCCTCAGAGGAACCTGAACCCATTCCTGCAAACAGATCCATTCCCTGAAATCACAGAATCATAGAAGGGCGTCAGCTAGTCCACCCTCCTGCAATGCAGGAATCTCAACAGAAAGTCCAAACAGAAAGCGGGGAGAAGGATTAGAAAAGGAACAGCAAAGGAAAAACTGTTAGGGGTATCATATAACACACATTGGATTCCTTCCTATAAGGATGGGCCATGAGTAGAGAATCTGGGGGCACTCTCCCTCATGTTGGGAGCCCCTTGGGAGTATCCAGAAGAAAGTCTCTCTCACCTGCTGCTCTGCCTGCTTTCTGTCCTCTGCCTGACTCAGGAGGAAACCTTCAGCCAGGGCCACCGCCTGGGAACTGGTCTCCGCTCCACAGCCCCTCACCCAGCTCTCCATCTCCGCTGGAAGGACAGCCAGGAACTGCTCCAAGATCACCAGGTCCAGCATCTCAGCTTTCGTGTGCCTTTCTGGCTTTAGCCATTGATGGTCAAAGTGGTAGAGTCGTCCGCAAACCTCACGGGGTCCTTTGGCCTCCTGGGGGCAGAACTGCCTGAACTGCTGGCTCTGCGCCTCTGAGCAAGGGGTGTCCTCCTCACCCAGGATCTTCGGCACAGAGTTTTCCCAGAATCCCCCACTGCTCCCATGGCCTCTTCCTGCTTCAGGGCCAGCTGAGTCTTGCTCATCCATCTGTGCTCTCAGGAAACCTCCAAGAAATCAGAATAAATCCCTTTTTTCCCCTGCCGTGTTCAGTGTGTCCAAATTAGAGCAGCCAGAAAATCCTGCAAAGCAAATGCATTACTCAGTTATAAAATTGACAGAGTCCGGAGAAAAGAAAAATATTCCCTGATCAAGCGTGGATGATCCCTTAAGGTGCCTGTTTGGAGAGACTTAAGCTTATCCTGCCACTGGGGTTACTCCTGGATCCAAGAGCATCACTTGAGGCTCAGCCAGCCTCTGTGAAAGTGCTCATTTCTAGCTCCGGCCTGTTTGCCAGCCCCAGGCCACACTCTGCATCCCATGGGATTATTACAGCCTTGAAGAGCTGCCCTTGAAGGAGACTCAGAAACCAGTTTAAAACACAGCAGCCAGTTTCCTGCCTGGGTTCCCCTCTATTTCACAGTTCCCTTTAAAGACGCCCACCTTCCTCTGCAAGGAGCTCAGGGCATCATCCATGGATCTAGCCCTCCTCATGCAACTCTCACAAAAACCCTTGGGAACATATTCAACTCCTCTTTCAAACACAGCTGCACGGCTCGTCAGTTTGTTTCCAAGTGCAATTTGCCGTTCGCTGAGGCCCCCCAATATCTGGAGAACCTCCTCCTTCCCTACATGCCCTCTTGGGTGTTCTGGTGGGCAGAGGGTTGGCCACCCTGGTGGTGGTCCCTCAGCTGGGGAATCCCCTCCCCAGGCACCTTCCACCTCCCACCCCACTAGCAGAGGTAAAGGTCAAGGGACCCCTGACCATTAGGTCCAGTCGTGGCCGACTCTGGGGTTGCGGCGCTCATCTCGCTTTACTGGCCGAGGGAGCCGGCGTACAGCTTCCGGGTCATGTGGCAAACCAGAGCAGCGAACAGAAACGCCATTTACCTTCCCGCCAGAGTGGTACCTATTTATCTACTTGCACTTTGATGTGCTTTCGAACTGCTGGGTTGGCAGAAGCTGGGACCGAGCAACGGGAGCTCACCCTGTCGCGGGGATTCGAACTGCTGACCTTCTGATCGGCAAGCCCTAGGCTCAGTAGCTTAACCCACAGCGCCACCCGCCACCCTGCTCCACTAGCAGAGACCCACCCCCTATTCCTGCGACTGCCACTTGCTTTCCTTCTTTTCCAGATGGAAATTCCCAGTGCCCAGGGCAATGGATGCAGCAGCTGGAGCTTCCAGTATTGCCGGCGGGGTTGGACTAGAGGACCTCATGGGTGCCCTCCCCCCCGAAGGAGCGCCCCGCCCGTGTCCCCCTCCCCTGACCCCCCGCCCCCCAAGGGGAGCCTCACCCCGGAGGCGCCACGCAGGAAAAAGGAGGCAGGCGCAGCAGCCCCCTGGCAGGAAGTGACGTGCGGAAGGGGGTCTCGGCCGCCCCTCCTCGGCCTCATTTCCTGTCCTCCCCGGCGGCCTTTTCTGGCGAGGCGGCGAGGAGGCGGGAAGAGGCGCTGGGTTGCTTAGCGACGTGACGCCAGGCGCCATCTTGGAAGAGGGAGGGAGGGAAGAGGCGCGGAAAGCGGCCGAAAGGGACGAGGGCAGGCGGCTAGGAAGCGAGCGAGAGGCGCCGCCTGAGGAGAGGCACCGGGGGCAGAAGCAGCGCGGGAAGCGGGCGGAGAAAGCACCGGCGCCGCCGCGGTGGGCAGAGGCGAAGGCGCCATCTTGGACGAGGGCAGCCACTGAGGAGGGACCCCGAGGGCGGGAAGTGACGCGGGCGTCGCGTGGAGACGGCGCTGCTGGCGTGGTGCGCGAGGGCGAGCCGCGAGGCCCGATTGGGCGGAGGGCGGAGGGCGGGCGGAAGTGCCTCTCCCGCCATGCAGGACGAGGGCAGGTCGGGCGCCCGAGCCGGCGGCGTCTTGGAAGAGCCGGGCGGGGGGGCGGCGCTGCTCTCTCTCCTCCGCAAGTGCTGCTTCCCGGGCAGAGAGGCCAGACTTCGGGCGGCGGGAGGCTCCACCGGGGAGCAGCAGAAGCGGGTGAGGAGGCGGCCTGTGGGGGAGGGCAGAGGGAGCCGGAGCTGCTGGGGATCCCCTCTTGCGTATCCAACATAGCGGTCCGTTTGGAGGTTGGGCAATTTCCTATCAGCACTCGGATATGGATATTGAAGATCCATTATTGGCTAAAGCTTATTTTCTTCCCGGTTGGGCTGGCACCTTTGACCTTATTGGATACCTACCAATCCAGATGGAAGGCCACACTGCTGGAAAAGCTTAAAGGCTTGGGGATCCCACAGCAGACCCTGACAGCCACAGGCTTCGAGAAAGCTAGGACTACAATTCGCCAGCGTATCTGGGACGTAGAATTACAATGCCACATGAGCAAAATGATCAAACATCCAGCGATAAGGGACCATGGGAGAGGTTTCTCTCCAGCTAACTATCTGTCAGGTCTTCAGGTACCCAAATACAGACGGTCTTTTACCCTCGCCAGATTCAACGTTCTCCCTTCTGCCTTACTTCAGGGCAGATTTGAGGGTAAACCATACACAGCACGGGTTTGCCCCTGTGGCTCGTTGGAAGTTGAAACTGCTTCACATGTACTATTACGTTGTCGTCTTTATGAGGATATACGTTTGACTTTTATTACACCTGTTTTGCAAAAGTCCAGGAAAGAATCGGAACACCATAGTTTAAAACTACTGCTAGAGGACAAGAATCCCAAGACTACATTAAATGTAGCCAAATTCTGTGCGTCTGCAGTTAATCGCAGGAAGCAAGTGGTACCCCATAATGACCAAACCCCCAAATGTTAATTACAGGGGGCACGCTAATAATTAATTTTAATTTTTTTATATTTAAATCCTTGTTATACTCATATTGTCCTCTGTATTTCTGATATTTTTTTTTATGATCTGTGAATTGTGTGTGTTGACGCTGGTCTGTGACCGTATTAATAAATTCATTCATTCAGGAGCGCCCGGCTTTGTTGTTGTTGTTTAGTGGTGTCCGCCTCTTCGTGACCCCCCTGGACCAGAGCATGCCAGGCCCTCCTGTCTTCCACTGCCTCCCACAGTTTGGTCAAACTCATGCTGGTCGCTTCGAGAACACTGTCCCACCATCTCGCCCTCTGTCGTCCCCTTCTCCTTGCGCCCTCCATCTTTCCCAACATCAGGGTCTTTTCCAGGGAGTCTTCTCTTCTCATGAGATGGCCAAAGTCTTGGAGCCTCAGCTTCAGGATCTGGCCTTCCAGCAAGCACTCAGGGATGATTTCCTTCAGAATGGAGAGGTTGGATCTTCTTGCAGTCCATGGGACTCTCCAGAGTCTCCTCCAGCACCAGAATTCAAAAGCATCCATTCTTCAGCGATCAGCCTTCTTGATGGTCCAGCTCTCACTTCCATACATCACTACTGGGAAAACCAGAGGTTTAACTATACGAATCTTTGTCGGCAAGGTGATGTCTCTGCTTTTTAAGATGCTGTCTAGGTTTGTCATTGCTTTTCTCCCAAGAAGCAGGCGTCTTTTAATTTCGTGACTGCTGTCACCATCTGCAGTGATCATGGAGCCCAAGAAAGTAAAATCTCTCACTGCCTCCATTTCTTCCCCTTCTATTTGCCAGGAGGTGATGGGCCCAGTGGCCATGATCTTCGTTTTTTTGATGTTGAGCTTCAGACCATATTTTGCGCTCTCCTCTTTCACCCCCATTAAAAGGTTTTTTAATTCCTCCTCAGGTTAAAATGAACTGAGCAGGATTCCTAGAAAGGGTGGGGGGGGCGCAAAGAGGGGGGAAGTCCTCCAGGGCAGAAACCCCGCCCTCCTCTGCCTCCTGGACTCCGCTGAGTCTCCTCTCTCTCTGGGGAGAAGGGGGGTCGGGAAGGAAGCCCTTAAGGCGCCCACACATTTTGCAGGGGAACTTTCCTTGCTTCTTGTTTTTCCTTTCTTTCAAGAAAGCTCAGAATCCGGGCTGTGGGGCAGCCCAGGCCAGGTTCCTAGCAAGCCTCATCCATGCTTGATCAGGGAACATCTTTCTTTTCTCCAGAGTGTTAATTTTATAACTGAACAATGCATTTGCTTTGCAGGATTTTCTAGCTGCTCTAATTTGGACAGACTGAACACGGCAGGGGGAAAAAGGGATTTCTTCTGATCTCTTGGAGGTTTCCTGAGAGCACAGATGGATGAGCAAGACTCAGCTGGCCCTGAAGCAGGAAGAGGCCATGGGAGCAGTGGGGGATTCTGGGGAAACTCTGTGCAGAAGATCCTGGGTGAGGAGGACACCCCTTGCTCAGAGGCGCAGAGCCAGCAGTTCAGGCAGTTCTGCCCCCAGGAGGCCAAAGGACACCGAGAGGTTTGCAGAAGACTCTACCATTTCGACCATCAATGGCTAAAGCCAGAAAGGCACACGAAAGCTGAGATGCTGGACCTGGTGATCTTGGAGCAGTTCCTGGCTGTCCTTCCTCCAGAGGTGGAGAGCTGGGTGAGGGACTGTGGAGCAGAGACCAGTTCCCAGGCGGTGGCCCTGGCCGAAGGATTCCTCCTGAGTCAGGCAGAGGACAGAAAGCAGGAAGAACAGCAGGTGAGAGAGACTTTCCTCTGGATACTCCCAAGGGGCTCCCAACGTGAGGGAGAAATCCCCAAATTCTCTACTCATGGCCCATCTTTACAGGAAGGAACCGAAGGAGTGTTACTTTTTCTTTTTCTTTTGCTGTTCCTTTTCTAATCCTTCTCCCCGTTTTCTGTTTGGACTTTCTGTTGAGATTCCTGCATTGCAGGAGGGTGGACTAGCTGACTCCATTCTATGATTCTGTGATTTCAGGGAATGGATCTGTTTGCAGGAATGGGTTCAGGTTCCTCTGAGGCAGAGAGGACTCGGTTGGACGCCAGAGAGAGGCCACTGGGTAAGGAGGAAGGATGAGGTTTGTCTCTGTTTGGTCACATTCTGTGGGTTCTGAAACTCACCTGTGAGTTCTTTGAATCGTTTGGGGGGAAACAATTGAAGACGTGAGCCCCAAGGAGGAGAGACGTATATTTCATTTACTGAATTTATATACCACCCTATACCCAGAGGTCTCAGGGTGATTTACAATATGTACGCAACTGAGCTACCAAATGGGTACAAATGTCCAAATGCACTCAGCGAGGTTTTTCTAAAGCCCATCTGTAGTAAGAGATGCTCTGCTAGACCTTACCTTTGTCTCCCGCAGGTGACAGAAAGACTTCGGCAAAACCTCCTCCATCTGTTCATGGTGTCAGAGGGGAAGCGGTGGCTGCGGAAGTGGATCAGGTAGGGGGAAGGAGCCGTGTGGGTCACGAGGCTGAGGAGTGGGGCAGCCAGGAGGCCTCTGGGCCCCAGTGATGAGTCTCACTCCTGCTCCACTTGGCTTCTGTCACAGTTGCCCTTCACAAAAGCTGGAAAGGCCATTCAGGAAGGTTTCTGTGCTGAGAATAAGGAGCAGCTGCCTCAGCTCAGCTAACTTTTTGAATGTTGCTCCGTTGTTGCTGCTTTCTTTATAAAGTTGTCACTGAATGCTGAAATAGGCTTCTAAGCAGTTGACAAACCATGAATAGCAGTGGCCAGGATTCACCTAAGCTGCCCCATCCGTTTCACAGCAGGGCTTTGCCCCACTCTCTTCTCTCTTCCAATGTCCCCATTTACCCCTTGAAGTTTGCTTTAGGGCGTCGGGAGGTTCCCCCCAAGAACAGCGTCCAGGGAGAGGACAGAGGGGATCCTTCTCTCCGGTAGACTGGAATGCTTTGCGCAGGCAGAATGACACGAGGACCACAATGTTGACCTCTTGCCCTTTGAACCATGAGTGATACCCATCATTAAAAGCCGCAAGAGAAGAATTCATTTGATACGTTAAAATAAGCATCCATAATAAAAATGTGCAGGAAAACAATCCCTGAAAAGTAACCAACAGGCAGAAAACCCTGGAGCAAAGTGCAGTAGATCATCTTCCTGCTGTCTGAGTGGAGGACATCTCCTTTTCTCTTTCAGGGTTCAGTGTGCTTTGAAGACGTTGCCGTTTCTTTCACGGACGAGGAGTGGGCATTGCTGGATCCTGACCAGAGAGCTCTGCATAAGGAAGTCATGGCGGAGAACCGTGGGATCGTGGACTTTCTCAGTAAGGCTCCCTGTTGGATCAGGGTCTCTGTTTTGAAATTCAGCGCATTTCTATCTGTGACCTCCCCTGCGTATTTGGATGGAGCTCAGCAGCAGCAGCCTCTGGGATTCTAGCACTCCCCAAACTATCTCCTGTTTGGGCTTTGAATATTCTTTCTCCAGTTGTTGTTATTACTATCCTGCACTTCATTTCTATACCACTCTATATTTTTAAGAAAAGACTCTCAAAGCAGTTTGCAACCTACATTAAAAGTCAACTAAAACAATCCAGAATAAAACTTTACAGAAGGTAGCCTGGCTAGTCTGAACTGATAAGGGCTTCTTACTGTAGGTTTCAAAGTTCTTAAGAAAGTGGAAGTGGCTTCTCCCGGGTATTTTTGTTTTTGCTTCTTCCTTTTTTTTTTTTAAATAATTTTTATTAAAGTTTTGAACAACAAAGAAAGAAAAGAAAAACATACACAATACATATAACAAAAACACAAAAAAAGAACAAGATGCAACAATAAAAAAACAGAAAACATAACAATTAAACACAATATCTCTTTTCCATTTCCATTTTTTAGTTACTTATTTTCTGGACTTCCTCATACCTCCCTCTTTTGTATTCCAATCCAAATTGTTTGTCCAGCAGTTTCTTTTCCACTTTTTTTAATCCCAATCTTTAGCTTTAATAAGATATTGAAATATATAACTTCAACTTCTTTAAACCTGATCTTTGGTCTTAATATCATATAACGTTAAAATTTTCCCTCTTAGTATCAAATTTCCATTTCTTTAAACATTTTTAATCCTAATCTTTAATCTTAGTCTATCATTAACTTTAACCTGTACAGCTGGAAACCGCTTATTTTCAGTCCAACATCACTCTAACATTCTTTAATTTTGCAATGTTTCTGAAGATAGTCTTTGAATTTCTTCCAATCTTCCTCCATCGACTCTTCTCCCTGGTCACGGATTCTACCAGTCATTTCCGCCAATTCCATATAGTCCATAAGTTTCATCTGCCATTCCTCCAGCGTGGGAAGTTCTTGTGTCTTCCAATACTTTGCGATGAGTATTCTTGCTGCTGTTGTTGCATACATAAAGAAAGTTCTATCCTTTTTAACACCATTTGGCCGACTATGCCCAGGAGAAAGGCCTCTGGTTTCTTAGGGAAGGTATACTTAAATACCTTTTTAATTCATTATATATCATTTCCCAGAAAGCCTTAATCTTTGGGCACGTCCACCAAAGGTGAAAAAATGTACTTTCAGTTTCTTTACATTTCCAACATTTGTTATCGGGCAAGTGATAGATTTTTGCAAGCTTGACTGGGGTTATGTACCATCTATATATCATTTTCATAATATTCTCTCTTAAGGCATTACATGCCGTAAATTTCATACCTGTGGTCCATAACTTTTCCCAGTCAGCAAACATAATATTATGTCCAACGTCCTGTGCCCATTTAATCATAGCCGATTTTACCGTTTCATCCTGAGTATTCCATTTCAGCAGCAAGTTGTACAATCTTGACAAATTCTTAGTTTTGGGTTCTAACAATTCTGTTTCTAATTTGGATCTTTCCACCTGGAAGCCAATTTTCCTGTCCAATTTAAATGCCTCTTTTTGTTTTTGCTTCTACCCATTTTCAGTTGACCAAAGAGATTACTGACCTTGGAGATGAAGTGGATCCCATGATTGAGCCAAAAATATCTCTCCCAGAAAAGAGTCAGGCTTTTTGAATCTCAGGTTCCCATAAATAGGCCAGTGATTATTAGTCAATGAAACCGTGAACTATATATATATATCTATATATATATATATATATATCTATATATCTGTATGTACTCCCAGACCAGTATGAGGAGCCTTGACTTGGGTTCCTTCCTCCAGCGGGCGCTGCTCGCAGAGGGACTCAGGAGCAGCGGTGGTTTCACCCGCAATATACCACTGAGTGAAACCACCATCCCACTCTGCCTTCATACAACTCAGAGGGAGAAACGGCTTGTTCTTCCCTCGGCATCTTTGATCTGCTCGACTGAGGAGTGTGCAGCAGCCCTTGCCTCAGTGGAGCAGTTAAAGGAAGCCCCAGCTGGCAAGCTGCCTCTGCTCCCAGGGTGAGAGCTGGGGCAGTTTCACCATGTGTCTCGTGGGCAGAGGCCAGCGCATCTTGTTTTTTCAACATTGCAGTATATTGCCAAATATTTGGCTAGTCTGTTTAGCTGGTGGTACACCACGATGTTGAAAAGCTGATATTTCTCAGCCCTCTGAATCTCTTCAGTTCTTTGACTAAAACAACCTTTCACTCTCGTTGCTCAATAATTGGGGGTTTCCTGAGAATCTGTTTTTCTCTTCCTTACAGGTGGCAAAATGTTAGAAGTGAAGAACAAGGGGGACCACAGCAAAATCCATATAGTGGAGATGCTACATAAATATTTGGGGTGCGGAGAGAGCTGCTGTCAGAAGGTCCATCTCACTTCCCAGGAAAGAACTCGTAAAGGAGAGAAACAATATCCGTGCTCGGCATGTGGAAAGAGCTTCAGTCGCAGAACCAACCTCGCAGCCCATCGGAGAATTCATAACGGGGAGAAACCATTTCAGTGCCAGGAGTGTGGAAAGAACTTCCGTCGGAAGGACCATCTCATGTCCCATCAAAGAATTCATGCAGGGGAGAAACCATATCAGTGCTTGAAATGTGGGGAATGCTCTGAGAATAGCACAAGCTTATGTCTCCATCAGAGTAGTCACAGTGGGGAGAAACCATTTCAATGCCAAGAGTGTGAAAAGAGCTTCCGTCGGAAGGACCATCTCACTTCCCATCAAAGAATTCATACAGCGGAGACGCCCTTTCGGTGCCTGGAGTGTGGAAAGAACTTCCGTTGGAAGGCGAGTCTCATTTACCATAAAAAAAATCATACAGGAGAGAAACCGTGTCAGTGCTTGGAATGTGGAAAGAGGTTTACTGTAAACTCAAGCGTCCGTCGGCATCAGCGTATTCACCATGGGCAGATACCATGTCAGTGCCAAGAGACTGCAAAGAGCTTCGGTCAGAGCACCCATCTCATGCACCATCAGAGAATTCATACACGCGAGAAACCCTGTTGATGCCTGGAATGTGGGAAGGGCTTCAGCTGCAAGGACCGTCTCACTTCCCATCAAAGAATTCACAGCAGGGAGAAACCATATCAGTGCTTGGAATGTGGGAAGAGTTTCACCTTTAAGGAAAGTCTCACTTCCCGTCAAAGAACCCATAGTGGCAAGAAACCATATCATGCCTTTGTACAAATTTAAATTTTGGATACTTGGTACATGAGGATTTCAACGGTGTTTTTTGCTTTCAGCAACTCAGCAAAGAAATTGACCTTGTCTCTCAAGGCCATGGAGTTCACACCCAATATAGGCAGCAGTTCTTTATACTTCTTATCCAGATTTGCAAGGGGCTGGGATACCTCCTTATTGTCACATCTGGGGAGGGGGACAAAAGCAGTTTGGCAGCACTGAGGAAGTTGCCGTCAACGCTGAGCAATTTAGACACAGCCACTTCAAGAGCCTCTAAGTTGCAAAATGGTGGTGCGCCTTGTTTACTCTTGCTGCAGGACCGGAACCGCTGGCTTCAAGATACAAGAAGGGAGTCTCAATATGTTCACTGGCCTGGGCAAAAATGAGGGTGCCCTAAAGGATGCTGGGCCCAAAATAGCAAGTCCTCACAGCTCCCCACCCCCTGCTTAAGGGCTAACTCCATTTTTCAATTTCTCTCTCCCACCCCACTCCCCAGCAAAGCCTTTTCCTCAATGCCGCTGGAGAAGAGGTGAGCAATCATTGGATGGTAGCGTTTAAGGGTTGACTCCCCCCACAATACTAAGGAAGAACTTAGAGCAGCCGCCTCATCTGGGAGCCACAAACCTGCCTGGATCGAGATCAGAAGGATCCTTGTTTGTGGCCTCTTTCCTGTCAGCATCCGTCTAGCGCAGCTTATTCAGAAGGCTGGTGGCTCCAACATGCTAGAAAAGTCACTCCCAAGAGGAGGACAAGAAAGCCCATCTCCTCCTTACAAAAAGTCCAAAGGTGTGAATCATAGAATAATTATAGATTTGGAAGGGATCCCAAAGCTCATCTTGTCCAACCTACTGCAAGGCAGGAAACAAGGAGAAAAGAAGTTTATTGCCAGCCCATTGACCAGCAACACAACCTGCAGTGCGGACGGCTCCTCTTCCGGGTTCCTGCTGGCCAGACTGGTTTTCCATAATGCTCCATCCCACTCCCCAGGCTTCACGTGTTCTCTCTCTTTCCCCCACCCCCAGGAAGTCAATACAGGTTCTGTGTCCACTGAGTATTCTCCATTCTCATTGAGCTATTTTGAGGTTCTCCCTCAATATCCCCCCTGAGATATTTGTGTTATTTCTGCTTGACAGCCCCTTGTTGGGTGCCAATCGTGCAGTTTTGGCACCAGAAGGGATTCCTCGGGGTCCTTTCCCGCTCTAAAGTTCCATGATGCTACGCAATAACAAGTTTGCTATAGGTGTTTTGCAGGGAGGATGAGAGGCATGGAGGAACGGAGGCCCCGTAATGTCGTCGTCCCCACTCTCTCTTGGTGCATCAGAAGTCAAAGAAGCATGTTGCTCGGTTGGCAAAGCAGCCCCTCAAAAGCAGCAGGATGTCACAAAAGAGTGAGAAACTTTCTGTGGGAAATTGCAGTCAAACATAACCATGCATGAGAGCTAGTTAGTGCATGAAGGGGTTAAGACCAGAGAGTTCTGCTCCAAGACCCAGCTAGGTCATGCCCCCCTTTACCTCTCTTCCTCCCTCCTCCCACTCTCTCTGACCAAGGAGGACATGTCTAAGCTTTGCTCCCAAGTTTAGAGCACATGTTTAGAACTATATTCTGTATTTCCTACCCAAGAGGATTCTGCCAGCGTTCTCCTTGCAGCTGCATGGAACAACACATGTCTCAGACCTTTGAATCTGTTAATAAAGCGTTTTAAACTTACGTAGCGTCGTGTGGTCTGTCCTTTGCCAAAGGGGGTAGACAGAAGGGAGTGTTGTAAACAGGATAAGAAAGCTCTAATAGCCTAGATTCCTAACGCTATACAGTCATACCTCAGAAGTCGAACAGAATTTGTTCCAGAAGTCTGTTTGACTTCCAAAATGTTTGGAAACCAATGCGCGGCTTCTGATTGGCTGCAGGAGCTTCGGCTTCCAAAAATCGCTGGGAAAACGGAACACTCACTTTCAGGTTTTGATTATTCGGGAGCTGAAACGTATGAGTTCCAAGGCGTTCGGCAACCAAGGTACGACTGTACTGCCGCTTGACTCTGAGGCTAAACTCTGCTGCTGCTGTGCAAGTTTAAGCTTGATTCTTTTCTTATCCACTTCACACATGTGAGTCGCACAGATTCGTATATTTAATTTCCCTCCCACCCTTTCAAAGTCTCCCAAGAGGACCTGCAGGTTCTGCCTGACCACTGGGATGGGTTTGCTGTGCTTTTTTAGGAGGCGTGGGATGCATCTGGCTATATGTTCCCCCAAAACAGGAGCAACTGTTAACGGAGAAATCCGAGGGCTCCCTTGGACAAAAAAACGAGGACACCAGCCAGGAATACCAGAGCAAAACAGCAGCCAGGAGTCTTGGTCTTTATTGAAGACGGTCACGACAGGACTCCCACCTGCCACAAGGTGGAACAAGATGGAAGCCCCGAACAAAAGAGCCCCCAAACTTTTATTAGCTGCTCATCCCCATGTTACACCCCCCCCAAACTACATCAGTAATACATCACGGTTACATCATGAAAGGGGAGGTCTGGTGGCCGTAATCTGAGCATCCTGGACCCTGCCCCATGGTTCCTCTTGCCCTCCACCAAACACCCATCAAGTGTAGCAAAAGAGATATTTACATTTCCCTCTTTCCCAGCCACGTTCATCCCACCCTTTTGTCTTCATCTGGGTTTGCTCTTTCTGGAATGGCTACCTGTCTGGCACTCAGGTATCAGGATGCCAGGGATTATCACTCAGGCAGAGGGGCTGCTGAGTAGCTGAGCTCACAGGTCTATACAAATTTCTGAAGTTTTCCCAGTGAGCCAGTACAGAGATTTATCAGTGAATTTTTACATTTGGCACAGGTGCAGGCGCTTCAGAATCAAGGCCCTGCCCCAGCTCAGCCGGCCCTGGAGGCGAGGACTCCTGTGCAGGCGGGGATTCCTCCGGTTCAGCCTCTGAATCGGATTCCCAGGCCATCACACACACCTTGGTTCAGGGTCCTCCTCCTTTCCTGCGTGTGGTGAGTGAGGACCCTGTTGCAACAGATCAATAAAGATCAGGCTTACAAGCTGCTTTGCTTCTCAGTATTCTCTGGTTGGCCTCTGTTATTTTCTCCTACCAATAGGGAACCTACATAAGGACTATATATGGGCTCTTTGATACCCCGTAAGGGAAAAAAGGGCAGAGTTTTGTTCACGACACTATGTTCTTAGGGGCATTTGGCCACTGTGAGGACAGGAAGCTGGTCTAGACTGGCCCCCTTTGGCCTGGTCCAGCAACAGCTGGGCTATCCTGTTCTTAGAAAAATAATCACAAGCCACTTATTTTAAAAAGCCAAGAGCCTGACGACAGTTGCGCCGGAAGAACAGCTGTATCATCTGTTTCTCCTGTGTCAGCCAAGCGAAGGCATGATGTCAGTTCCAGGGAACTGTCTAGAAATTGCTGCTTATTGCAGATCCTGAAAGTGATTCTGGCCCTCATAACATTTGCTGCCCGCACCCAGTTCCTCTTTGACTCCTTTTCCTGCTGAGCCTAAAAAAAAGCCCCGATTCTGGATCCCGTGATTCTCCCCTCGGCAGTTCCTCTTTTTCTGCTGATTGGGGTGAAAAGGGGGGATCCTTGAGCCTGTGTCTCAGGCCAGTGCTGAACCGGAGAAGCGAAGAGGTCAGGCCAGGGTTCAGTGCGGATGCAGCCGAGGGGCAAGTCTGGGAGGAGCGAATCTCCTGCCTCGTGGAGGTCCCTGGTTCAAGCCCTGGGGTCTCAGGCAGGGCTGGGAATGGGTCTAAAAACCCGGACAACTGCTGCCCGTCCATGTAGACAGGACTCAGCTGGGGGCACCAATTGGGCGACTGAGCGGAGGAATCACTCAGAATCACTCAGAATCACTCAGAACCTGAGGAGTCACTTAGGATACTGCAAAGGGATTCTATAGATTTTTTCCCCCAACGTATTTTTTATTAAAGATTTCTTGGTTTACAAAAGTATGTGCAATGTCTCTTTTTTCAAGTTACATTTTCTGCAAATCAGTTTCATTTGTTGAGACGTTAGTGTTACCTTAGGAAGAGAAGGGGGAAAGAGGTGGAGGGGGGAATGGGGAGGGGGTTGGAGTTGGGGGGGCGATGTTTCTATTTTACTTAACATATGGGGGGGTCAGCACCGCTTCTGTGGGTTCTTTTTGCTATTCGCTTGTGTTCCTTTGGTGGTGAGAGAGGTTGGGGTTGGCCTAGGCCAGGCATAGGCAAACTCGGCCCTCCAGATGTTTTGGGACTGCAGCTCCCATCATCCCTGACCCCTGGTCCTGTTAGCAAGGGATGATGAGAGTTGTAGTCCCAAAACATCTGGAGGGCCGAGTTTGCCTATGCCTGCCGTAGGGTGTGGTTGTTTCTTTGTGGTTGGCTGTGGTGAATTTTGTTTTCATGTGTGCATGGGGTGGGTGGGTGTTTTGGATCAGGATAGCCATATTGATTTGTATACCGTTGGTGGATTTTTGTCGTTTTCTTGTTGGGCTGTGGGTGTGATAAAGGGGAGCCATACCGGAGTGAAGGTGTCTTCTTCCATTTGTCCCCGTTTCAGTTTCAGTTTGTTGGTTAGTTTTTCTAGTAGGGCTGTTTCCCATACTATTTGGTACCATTGGTCCATGCTTACTCCTGACAGGTCTCTCCAGCGTGATTCTATAGATATTTGAACCAGCGCATTATAGACTCGAGTGGAATGGACTCATCGGTTATATGTCATAAACAGAAGCATAATGTTGCCTGGCACCCCAATCTCAGAGCAAAGCGAGATTTCAAGCGCTTACCCAGAGTTTGGTTTCGTTGGACTGAAGTACCACAGATATTGTGGCGTCTTCGTGATAGATGATCTGTTTACACATATACAGTACAGTCATACCTTGGGTTACAGACGCTTCAAGTTGCACAGAATGGGTTACTTCCGGGGTTTGGAGCTCGCGCATGCGCAGAAACTAAATCGCACTTTGCACATGTGCAGGAGCACTGAATCGCAACCCGCACGTGCGTAGATGCCGCGCTGCGGGTTGCGAACATGCCTCCCGCACGGATTGTGTTTGCAACCCAAGTGGTATAGAATTTAGCTTTCGTTTCTCCATATTTGGACTTCCTTGTTTCACGTGTGTCCAGTCCCTCCCTCTGGGGTTACAGTAACATCCATTCAACCTATTCAGCCTTGCTCTTTATCTTTTACTCGCCCAAGCCAGACATTCCTGAGATAGGCCTATTTTCACTGCAACATCTCAGCAAGGAACAGCCTTGTTCTTCTGGCTGGTGAAGAACCTTCAAAACCTCCCCCCTTTGGGATAACACATGAGAGAGGAGAAAATGCCTTAAACAGTTTTCTTTTGGGGGGGTCATATAGAGAACAATATTCTAATGGCCCCTTCAACAGCATTAACCCCCCCCCCCAAGAAGGCCTTTTTTCTCCCACCGTCCTAGTGGATCCCAAAGCTTGCACACCCAATCCTCCTTCCTCAAGCAGAAGTGGCAAGGACGTTCCTCGTGTGTGTGTGTGTGTGTGTGTGTGTGTGTGTGTGTTTCCTAAACCCAGAGGGAGGTCTCTGGCTACTGTGTACATGGGGCCTGGTCACATGTCCCCAGGGTCCACTCTGGGTGTCATCCGACGGCCAAGCCTACAAGAAGGGCGGGCAGGAGGAAGCCTCTCCCCATGCTTGGCTTGGCCAAGTTGCAGAAAAGGGAAGGAGAAGCTGGTGTCCCTGACTGAGCTGTCCAGGCTCCTCACACGTTTTCCTTGGGGCTGATCTCTCCACCGTGACACCAACATGGATCCAGCTGTTGCCTTCCTCTTCCTCGTCTTCACCTTCCAAGCTACAAGTGAGTAAAATCCAGGTGACTCTCTGTTAAACTCCCTCTCTCTGTGTGTGTTCCATAATGCAATGCCCTTGCTGCCTCTTGCACAAGCAAGCAATGTGTGTGGAGGTATAGGGCTCCCTGCTTATTTCACATTTATCCCCAGTTGCTCACAGAGATGTTAGACAATATCCAGTCTTTATTGCGGAAATTTTCCAGGTTGTTTTCAGAGAGGTTATTTGACAATGAGCTTCAGGCAGATTTGCTTACAGGGTGTTTATCCGTCTTCCCAATGGGCATTTGTTCATTCCACAACCAGGAAATAGGCAATTTCCTTTTAAAGGTGTATTTGCTGGGTGAGGGTGAACTATGATATCCCATTTGTATCTCACCTTTTCACTCCAAAGAGCTCAAGGCGCCCAAAAAACAAAAAACCCCAACCCCTTCTGATGAGCACTTAACAAAAAGGACGAAATCGTGGCTGGTTAACTGCAACCACGGAATCATGGGCGGGACATTTTCTCAGAAGCGTTGAAAATAAATATCTGGTTATTATGGGGTGCTGAAGGGCGCAATGAGTTGTTGGCTTTTGGTTTTGGTTTTTAAGCACACGTTCTGTAGACTCATAGAACTGTAGAGATGGACAAGACCCGACGGGTCACCCAGTCCGGCCCCTGCAATGCAAAGATCACAGAATCTGTGCCCAGAGGTGGAATTAGGTGGGCTTGTGAGTCCAGAAGGTGCTGGGGTCCCTTTGTCACTGCAAATCACCCTGCTATGCAAACAGCCCCAGCCCCAGAGAATTGTTGTAGCAGCAGACTAGAAAGGGGAGATTTTGGGGGCGGGAGGAGAACCAGGATTGCTGGTTCCCCAAGGTCTCATCTCTTGCCTTTGCCTGTAGCCTGATGGAAAAGCTGCAAATTGGGGTTCTGGCCTTACGATGCTCGTGCCCACTGTGTTATCATGATGATGATGATGATGATGATGATGATTTTTTATTTATACCCCGCCCATCTGGCTGGGTTTCCCCAGCCACTCTGGGCGGCTTCCAACAGAATATTAAAATACAATAGTCTATTAAACATTAAAAGCTTCCCTAAACAGGGCTGCCTTCAGATGTCTTCTAAAAGTCTGGTAGTTGTGTTTCTCTTTGACATCTGGTGGGAGGGCATTCCACAGGGCGGGCGCCACCACTGAGAAGGCCCTCTGCCTGGTTCCCTGTAACTTGGCTTCTCGCAGCAAGGGAACCACCAGAAGGCCCTTGGAGCTGGACCTCAGTGTCTGGGCAGAACGATGGGGGTGGAGACGCTCCTTCAGGTATACTGGGCCTTTGAGGCCTTTTAGGGCTTTCAAGGTCAGCACCAACACTTTGAATTGTGCTTCTGGCGGTTCCCTGGCTGTGAGAAGCCAAGTTACAGGGAACCAGGCAGAGGTCCTCCTTGATGGTGGTGCCTGTCCTGTGGAAAGCCCTAAAAATAAATTATTATTATTATTATTATTATTATTATTATTATTATTATTATTGGTTCTGAGTGGCATTTGGCCACTGCAAAGCAGGAAGGCTTCACTGGCTGGGACCCTTCTTAGGTCCTGGTGGAACCTCCAGGTCCAGAGGCAGTCTATCAAGATTTCTAGGTCTTAAGGGCTTTTGCAAGGCCACCGTGAGAACAGGAGGCTTGCTTTGATGGGCCCCCTTGGGCCTGATCCAGCTTCTGGGCTCTGGATTCAACCTGGATTCTGAGGAGATGTTCCTCATGGTTGTTTTTAGGAGTAAGAGGAACTGATCTGGAAAGATTTGGCAATCGGGTTTGGGTGTGTGCCTGTAAAACAAGCAAGGTCATCCCCATTAATTGCTCAAGAAGTATTGTGTCAGCTAGTGGCATTTTGAGAGAAGCATAACTTGACCGGGTGGTGGGAGACAACAACACGAAGCATCCTCTGTGGGTGTCAGACAGATGTGAACAACAGAACATCCCAGCGTCAGCGGCACCAGGACCTGCTAGTCCCACCTCTTGTCCCCACAGCGGCCAGAGGGCTCTAAGAACCTAGGACCAGTGCTTTTTCTGGGGGTACCCAGGGTATACGTACCCCTAAACATTTTGTGAATCTTTGTGCTTTTGTCCATTTATTGTATTTATTTTTCCTGACGTGAACTTTAAAAAGGTGATTTTCTTGAATCAAAATGAGAGCACCCCTAAACATTTTTTTAGGGCGGGGGAAGCACTGCCTAGGACTCTAGAGAGACTGCTTCTGGGCCTGGGGCCAGAAGAGGTTGGCTTCTGGATCAGGCCAAAGGGGGCGCATCTGGTTCTCACAGTGTCCAGCCAGGAGCCCCAAACTGGGAAGCCCAGAAGCGTAACTGCAGCAACCCCCTTGCAATTCCCAGCAGATGATATTCCCAGGTATACTGCCTCCAACAGGGGGAGGAGGAGACTAGGAGCCGTTGATGCTCTCTGTTGGCATGCAGCCAAGGAAAGGGGGGCAATTGGCAGGCCCCCAGCTGGCTCCAGACGATCTCCAGTCCTTGGTGCAGCATCAGTGACCTGAGCTGCAGAAGCTGGGGCAGGCTACTCAGCAGAGTAAACATTGCACAACAGAAGTGGCAGAAGTTGTGTGAGCATATTTGCAAACAGTTTATTCAGCATGCAGCAGGACAAAAGGAAAACATGTCCAATCTCCTTGGTGTACAAGCAAGACAGCAAAAGCAAAAGCTATACACATACAGAAGTTCCCAGCAAGCTGTGCTGGAGTGTAAACAGACATGTGACATGCAACAATTCCACACGTCTGTTCTGAAGGTGGAACGGAATATCCTCACACTATCCTCCATTTATGAGAGCCCTGCCTGTGTGCAGGATTGCAGGTTAAAAGTATAGGGACCCCTGACCATTAGGTCCAGTCGTGACCGACTCTGGGGTTGTGGCACTCATCTCGATTTATTGGCCGAGAGAGCCGGCATACAGCTTCCGGGTCATGTGGCCAGCAGGACTAAGCAGCTTCTGGCCAACCAGAGCGGCACATGGAAATGCCGTTTACCTTCCCGCTGGAGCGATACCTATTTATCTACTTGCACTTTGACCTGCTTTCGAACTGCCAGGTTGGCAGGAGCAGGGACCGAGCAATGGGAGCTCACCCCGTCGCCGAGATTCCAACCGCCGACCTTCTGATCGGCAAGTCCTAGGCTCTGTGGTTTAACCCACAGCGCCACCCGCGTCCCATGTTCCCCGGACTCTCGCCTGGCGCCCTCCAGTGTCCTGGTGTCCCGCGCCACTAGCCTCAATGGGTAAGATGGGCCCGTCTTCAAATATCTCAAGGGCTGCCCCACGGAAATCAAAGCGGGCTTGTTCTCTCCAGAAGGCAGGACCCAAACCAAGAGATTCAAATAGCAAGGCAGGAGACTCCAATTAAGCATTAGGAAGAATTTTCTGAGGGCAGGAGCTGCCCAACAGTGGAACAAATTCCCTCATTGAGCTCTCCTTCCTTGGAGGTTTCTAAGCAGAGGATGGACAGCCGTCTGTCATCACATGGATGCTTTAGATGTGATTCCTGCTTGCTGGGATTTGGACCAGAAGACCCTCATAGCCCCTATGATTCAACCATTCTATGAAAGGGGTGTGAGGAGATGGGGGACTTGGCTGTGCCCCCTGGATTTCCCCCTAACTCCTCCCCATTTTGAAACGGCTTATCAGCTCATGTGCCTCCCCCCTCAGTTGCTTTGCAAGCCTATCTAACGTCCGACCCCCACTGCCCCCCCAAAACCCAGGTTGCTGAAACACTCTGGTCAATGTCTCAACCTGGTTCCTGTTGATGGCGCGTGAATCTCATCCTCTCCAAATTCACTTTCTTCCCTCTTCTCTCTCTCCTCTCCAAGGCGCAGACAGTCCTGCAGCGACCCACGCTGAATTAGGCCCCAAATATGTGGGGCACTCAGTCAGTCTTCCTGTTGTGATTCCAAAAGGGACCATTTTCTCGGGTCTCTTATTGAGGTCTGTCGGCCCACCCAGCAAGGCCGTCGCTATGTGGGAGCAAGGGAAGCCCATCACGGTCCTAGACCCAAGATATTCCGAAAGGGTGTCTTTCCTGGAGGAGGAACCTGCCTTCCAAATCCATAACCTCACCTTGGAAGACGGAGGAGGCTATGACATTTCGACGTTCACCCAGGAAGGCTCCAAGACGCTGAACCGCTACACGCTCTTCGTCTTCCGTAAGTAACTTCTAAGAACTGCAAATTCAAGCGCCTCCCATGCACATTTGAAGCACCCGCCCCCAAGAATCCCGGGAACCACAGTTCCCCACCCAGAGAGCTACATTGAATGAACTACGGTTCCCAGGATTCTTGGAGCGGGAAGTTATGCACTCTGTACGAGTTATAGATGTATTTATTTATTTCATTATTTCATATGTACACCACTTGATTATTTTTAAAAAATGACAAGGAAATCAAGGAAAAATCACAGCAATACTTTAAAACATACAAAAGTTAAAATACTAAAGCAGATAGGTTCATAAATGTATGGTAGGGCTGTGGCCTTAGTTCAAGGCAGAGAATTTGAACTTAATAGTAAAAGGGCACAGGCTGCTATCAGCTCAAAGAAGAATGCCTGACTGGCATGTTCTCTCCCTCCTGCTCATTCGTTCGGGAGCTTCAAAAGTTTTCTTCAGCCTGAACATCACAGCGACCGATGCCAACCAACACCGGCACACTTAGGGATCCGCAGAGTTTGTGCATTTCGCATAACAGAGCTCAGCAACTCAGCATTTTGGCTAATCTACTTTATTTACATATCAACACACACAGAGCACTGCAACATGGCTCCCTCTCTCTCTAGCATCAGACAGCAAAGAGAAAAGGGACAAAGGACAATAGTCCCACTTCACGGAACACAGTAACACAAACATCCTGTCTCCGTCACGTCCCACTCGGTGGAGTCAAAACATACACCGTCATGTGAAAGACAACAATCCCATGACTGCAATCATGCAGCAGGGATCCTAACACCCCCGCAGAGCAGGCTCTCCAAGGGGGGGGGGCATCTGGCAAGGATGCTTTAGCAGTGATCGCTGCATTGCAGGAAGTTAGACTACGTGACCCTTGGAAACTCTACGATTCTGTGACTAATCAAAGCCGTGTCTGGCAGCTACTAAGTTCAGGAGTTTTCCAAGAAATTGTCAGTTCCTCAATCAAGAAGTTACACCAAACTCGAGAAGGGAAGAAAGTTGGGTGGCTGCTTTTACTTTTAAATGTTGCAACAGCAGCTAAAATTATCCTTCTTCAGCAGATCTTATTTGCTAGATGCAACCGTCAAACTTTGAAGCAAAGTGAGGGCAGGCACCTGATTGCTTGCTTGGCAAGAACATATGTAACCTCGGCAAAGGAAAAGGGTCAAAATATCCTGGTTGTCAGGCTGCAGTTCAGTGGTAGAGCAGGCCCTTCATGTCCAGACGGCCCCAGGTTCCCTCCTCCATGGCATCTTGGGGGGAAAGACTCCTGCCTGAAATGTTGAAAAGTGTTGAGTGACCACTCTCAGTGAGGTGTCTTCACCCTTTCCAGACCCAGGACTTGTGAGAATACTGTGGATAGCAGGAGAGGATATATTGGTTCTATATTATCCTTCCTCACGCACGCTAGTGAGTCAGAAGCAGAGTACATTCCCCACTATATAGCAGGGAGCCAGTTGGTAGATTCATTTGAATCTCTGTTGTTCCTGGTAAATTCCTGGTGTTTTGTTTTTCCTGGTAAATTCCCCTTTTATTCCCTCTTAAAAAGAATAAAGACACAAGGGTCTTCCCTTAAAAGTAACAAGGTTTACTCACATTCAGTTCACGGTATGATCCTGAAGGCAGGCTTTAGCTTGTAGTTACAGATACAGAGAAAGGTGTGGATTCATCCTCTTGTGAGGAATGAGCCCATGCGCTGCTGGCTGAGAACCAGCAGACAGCAAAAGCGTCCAGAGAAGGAGAAGGGTCTCAAGGGAGCAGATGGCTGCAGAACCGGTCCTTTTATGGGGTCTGCCAGGGTCACGCCCATCTACCTGTTCACACGCAGAGGGAGGATGCTCCAGACCAGGTGTCACAGGAAGTTATACTGGCTAGAGTAACACCCCCCTGCGCGTCCCCTCTGGGCAAACAGGAAATGTTGAACTTGACTGCTACGGTGATGTTACATCCCACAGGACCCCCTTTACAGCTAACATGCACCTGGGGACCCATTTCCTTAAGCCTTTTACAAGACCTTGTACGACTCATGCAACACGTTGGCGGCTAATATACACACAATAATTACCAAAATGATTATGCATTCTTTATCAGTCTTCTGAGAAAAATGCAAGACCTTATGCAAAGCCACAGAGACTTGCGAACTACCCAGCCTAAGATGAACTTATAATGTCTGATTTCAATAGATTTTTCAAGTGCTTAGCTCAGTCTTTTGTTTTCTTTATCTTCGCAATACCGAGAGATGCCAGTGAAGCTGTAGATAGATGTTAATGAAGTTGCAGACATTAACATCTATCTACAACTTCACTAGCATCTCTCAGTATTGTGAACAACACCGAACTTACCTTTTGTTGGTATCTTCATGAACTTACCTAAAAAGATAAAGAAAACAAAAGACTGAGCAAAGCACTTGAAAAATCTATTGAAATCAGACATTATAGGTTCATCTTAGGCTGGGTAGTTCGCAAGTCTCTGTGGCTTTGCAGAAGGTCTTGTATTTTTTTCAGAAGATTGATAAAGAATGCATAATCATTTTGGTAACTATTGTGTGTATATTAGCAGCCAACGTATTGCACAGTCGTACTACTCCTATCAGCAGCACAGGTGGCATTTTTCTAGCGTTATTGTTTTTGCCAAACCTTGGCAGAGCCCACGCTGGATCTGGCCACGACCTGTCTCTGAGTCCGCCACCTTCCCGGGGAGTCTGTTCCACAGTCAAGCCGCTCTTCGCACCAGGAACTTCCTAATGTTTAGTCTGGATCTCCTTTCCTGAGATTTGAATCCGTTGGTTCGGGCCCTGCCCTCTGGGGCGGCAGGTTGCAGGCTGGCTCCACCTTCCGAGAGTGGAAGATGGCTGTGATTTCCTGACCCTGTCCCTTGACCCTGTCTCTTGCCCACCCCTTCTCTCCCTCCCGTTTCAGACATCAACATCACGGGAGAAAGGTTGGCCAACAGCTCCTGCAAGCTCAGTTTGCTGTGTGAGGCTGGAGCTGGAGCCAAAGTTCGGGTGACCTACTCCTGGAAGAATACAAAAACAGGGGACACGGCTTCTGCTGACGCCAGGCTGCATCTCACCTTGAACCCCAAGAGCAAAGATGACTCTTACACCTGCTCCGCGCAGGCCTTGGGGACCCAGAAAGCTTGGGAGGTCTTGCCCTATGCTTCGTGCCCAAAATCTGCAGCTGCAGGTGAGTAATATTTCGATTTATTTCCCGCCCGTTGCCATCACGTCCTGCCACTCAATATTGCAGTGGCTCAGAAGACCAAAGACGGGCGCCGTAACCTGTGGTCAGTCAGTCCGTTTTATTGCACATAGCCAAAGGCTGCCACAATGTACACTGGATCATTCAACAATTAAAAGAAAATATGCTGGATTAATGCAAAAAACTTAAAACATTTCTGTTATCAAGACATTACCTATTCTAAACAGAGCTATAAAAGTACCTTAATTATATACAGGTTAAGACATTAAACAATAAAAATTTATAGACTAAAATCACCACACAGCCACTAATATATTAAAAAATAATGTTAATTAATACAATGTGCAATCATATTCGGAGTTTGGTGATAAAGATAGAATATAGCTTGATGTAGGTAGGGTCAAATAAATTCATCTCCTTTACAGTTGGTGGCTATATAATTTGCTCTAATTTTCCTAGCGGCAGTTGCAAAGAGTGCTACACGCCAGGTCACATACTTATCTATGTCTGCGAGGAGATATAAAATCACGTCAGAGGGGTTCTGGCCAGGGGACCTTGTCATTATAGGTGCTAAAAATCGTTCTCCTGCTTCATTATATAAGGGGCAGTGCAAGAGATAATGCATAAGGTCCTCAGGACATCCCCTAATGCAAACACGTTCGTTTGTTAGTATGCTTCTGTGTCTTCCATCTCTATAAGCAGAGTTTATGTATTTAATTGTAAAGTCAGTTAATTGAAATAAGGTGTATGTTCGTGGGCCTCTCTAAGTCTGAAATATAATGAGGCGCATGTGGATGTGTACATAGAGTTTAGGTCGTTTTTAGTTGCCACTGCCCTTATGGTTCATTAGACAATATTTTTCTGGGAATATAAGGGAAGTTCTTTGATCTCAGTCACTGAGAGGTCCTATCTGCCCATCAGTTGGGCAGCGTGATGTACCCAGTTTTTAAGGGGTAATCCATTCGAGACCGTAGCCTGTGATAGAAAGGACAGGAGGTCACCTTCGAAAGGATGTTGCAGAGTTGGGGAAAAGTTCAGAAAAGGGCAGGAAGAAGGGTCACCAGGATGGAGCATCTCCCCTGTGAGCAATGGTCGCAGCGTTTGGGGCTTTTTAGATTAGAGGAAAGGGGGGTGAATAAAACGAGGCACAGCCTTGAGAAAGTGGTAGAGAAAAGCTTTTATCCCTCTTTCATAGTTGATGGGCGTCTGATGAGGCTGGATGTTGGAAGATTTAGGACAGAAAAAAGGAAGGACTTCTTCAAGCAGCGCATTGTTAATGTCAGTTTGCATTTCTTAGTGCAAAAAAATATTGATCTGATGCACTGATCTTTCCTATTCTATTATAATTCATTCAAGAGGGCTCTGGAAGGATCTTTGTGTGAAAGAAGCAAGCAGAAGGTTCATGAGGTTTGGGTTATTCCTTCAGAGAAGCTGAGCACAGCTGGCTTAGACTGGTTCTGTTATCTCTTTCTGTCAAGGTCATGCTGATTATAATAATAATAAGGCCCGGAGGAGCCGGGGCTTCACTTTCTGTCTCTCTTTCCTTCTGGTGTGGTGTTCTGAACAAAGTGTTAAGGCTTAGTCTTATTCTAAGTTACTGTCAGCTTAAGTTAAACCTGCTGCAACTGGATTTCTTATGGGTAGTGCCAATCCTGAATGTACAGTGGACTCGGGTTGCAAACGTGATCCATGCGGGATGCACATTCACAACCCACAGCATCCGCAACCTGCAGTGCCGCGTCTGCGCATGCGCGGGTCACGATTCAGCGCATGCGCAAGCGCCGAAACCTGGAAGGAACCCGTTCCGGCACTTCTGGGTTTGGCACGGTGCGCAACCCGAAATCGCGCAACCCGAAGTGTCTGTAACCCGAGGTATGACTGTACAGTGGTACCTTGGGTTAAGTACTTAATTCGTTCCGGAGGTCCGTTCTTAACCTGAAACGGTACTTAACCTGAAGCACCACTTTAGCTTATGGGGCCTCCTGCTGCTGCCACACCGCTGGAGCAAGGTTTCTGTTCTTATCCTGAAGCAAAGTTCTTAACCTGAAGCACTGTTTCTGGGTTAGCGGAGTCTGTAACCTGAAGCGTATGTAACCTGAAGCATATGTAACCCGAGGTACCACTGTATTGGATTTGTGACCATTATGCTCATTTGCCTTCAGTAGCAGTAAAGCTCTGCTGGATGAAATATGAATTGCCTCTGGTCTATTTTGGGGGAATCCTGCAACGTGTTTGTTACGGAAAAATCTAGGTGTGAGGCTGCTCCGTCCCCCAGCTGGTCGGGCAGAGCCCGCGGGTCCCTGCGGAAGAAAGGAAGGAGTCCAGCCAACCGGAGCAAATAGCTGTAGACCAAAGTTTATTGCGCAATAGGTTCAAAGAGGAATTTTGAACCCTGAGGATGGGGTGACAAGGACTTTTAAAACTTTCCCACCATATCCCAGAATACAGTTCATACAGCATCATTGCTGCATCACTGACATGTCACCAAAGGGGAGGGCTTAACCTTGGCAAAGATGTCCAGACAAGTCCTTGGTACAAGATTAGCATAAGCAGACATGGCAGAGCAAGACTCAGGTATAAGATGAGCATAGACAAATATGTCTTAAATATCCATCACCCAAAAGTACAATAGAAGTTCCTTTGCGTGTCTGGAGCCTGAGGCGAGTCAGGTGATGAGATCTGGCTTCCTTTGGCTAACAATGAGCCCAGCAATTGTCACCTCTGGGAACTTCCTGGAGTCCCTTTTCAAGGGGAAAATAGCACTGGAATGGAGGGAACTGGGAAAGGAGATGATTTTATATTATTTTTAAAGCTAGGTAACTTTCCTGAACTGTCAAGTTGGAAGGATACATTCAGGCATAATATTTGTAACATTTAACTTTAAAGATGTGCCCCCCCCGTAATTGTAATAATAATAATAATAATAATAATAATAATAACAACAACTTTTTATTTATACCCCGCCCTCCCCAGCCAAGGCCAGGCTCAGGGCAGCTAACAAGCAATAATAAAAACAAGTTGAATGATTACAACTTAAAACAAAATTAAAATACAACATTAAAATATTGAAACATTAAAATATTAAAATACCTCATTAAAATGCCTCATCGCAGGAGGAGAAGGAAAAGTGTAACAGTGTTTAAGTTGTTACTCTGCTAACTATCCATTGGAATCTGCTCTGAATCAATACTGAGTAGAATTTCAGTGACAGTTAGACAGTGGAACTCTCTGCCACAGGAGGCAGAAAGGCACACCAACCTGTAAAGGAAGATTAGACAAATTAATGGAGGAGAGGGCTATCAGTGGAGGGGAGAGGGCTGCCAGCCACCATGAGTCTGCTCTGTCTCCACCGTTGGAAGCAGCTGAACACCCGTTGCTGAAAACCACCAGAGGGGAGAGTTGCTCTGGTGCCCAGATCCTGCTTGCAGGTTCCTGCAGGATACTGGGCTAGATGGGCCGTTGGCCTGATCCTGATTCTTATGCCCCCCTCTCTCTGATGGGCACCCTTTGACTCCCCCAGAATATTGTTCTACTACAACTTCCATCATCCCTGTTAACGGAGAAATCTGAGGGCTCCCTTGGACGAAAAACCAGGACACCAGCCAGGAAGACCAGAACAAAAGAGCAGCCAGTCGGCTTGGTCTTGATTGAAGACTGGACAGGACTCCCACCTGCCACCAGGTGGAACAAGATGGAAGCCCCAAACAAAAGAGCCCCCAAACTTTTATTAGCTGCTAATCCCCATGTCATGCCCCCCAAACTACATCACTCATACATCATGGTTACATCATGAAAGGGGGGGTCTGGTGGCCGTAATCTGAGCATCCTGGACCCTGCCCCATGGTTCCCCTTGCCCTCCACCAAACACCCAGTAAGTGTCACAAAGGAGATCTTTACATTTCCCTCTTTCCCAGCCACGTTAATCCCACCCTTTGGTCTTCATCTGGGTGTGTTATTTCTGGACTGGCTACCTGTCTGGCACTCAGGTATCAGGAGGCCAGGGATTATCACTCAGGCAGAGGGGCTGCTGAGGAGCTGAGCTCACAGGTCTAGATGAATTTCTGAAGTTTTCCCAGTGAGCCAGTGCATAAATACATTGATCAGTGAATTCTTACATTTGGTATCGTGCAGCAAAGGCCCTTTGAATGGATAGCAAGAAACTGTGATGAAGTGTTTTGTGGGGACAAATCAGAAAAGTCACAAAAGTGATGGTGCTGATTTTGGTAGTGGGCTGCATGTGCATGAGATCTGCTGGAGGGGCACCCCCCCACACACAACCTGTACATAAATTCCTGCAACACCCCTAAGAGGTGAGGGTGGAGAAATTGGGGTCACTTTGCATTATCACTTGAAGCTGTTTAGCCCAGGAGCTGAGGTCTGGCGCAATTCAAGTTACAAATCACAGCCCGGGCTGCACCTCCAGATGAGCTGATATGCAGACAAGCTAAAGAGAGACCATCAATGGCCAGAAATATTTCTGAGATTTCCACATCTCATCAAAATAATAATACTAACAATCCTATCCTGTTGGAGCATCTGGAATCCAAACTACGCAGCAAATATTTGAAATAATCAAGCTTGCCAAATTAACATTATTATTTCCCCTTTTTGGAGAATAGCGCATTTGTCAGCTGGGCTGAGACGATGGCGTCATTTCTGAAGTGCGCCGGAGCAAATGTTCCCTCTCCAGAACCCTTTTAGCCGTTCCCCTGCATTATTCATTGTAATTCATTATTTGGTATTCATCCATTCTTTTTGAAGTCATTTAAGTCATTATTTGCCTAACCCCTGGAACACGGGGAGGCTGTTGGAGAGAGAAAGCAAAAAGGTAATTATATCTGCCATGCCAAGCAAGCATGTATGTGCCGTCTGGGGGCTTCTGCGAGCTTTATTTGAATTTATTCATTTCATTTAGAACCAGCTCATTCTGAAAGCCATAGGTGGCCACATCTCCCTGGGAAAGTATTTACGGGTTGGGATGTGGGTACCTGGATGAAGTGCCTTTTCGCACACGTCCTCTGAGCTGAATTCTCCGGGGGGGGGGGGGGCTTTTCCTGATTGCCATCCCTCTACCCTCTGAAGTTCAATGGGCAATTGGGTGGGAGATAACACTGAGATGGTCCTTTTGGGGGTGTTGTGCTCCCCCACCCCACCCCCAAATAATATATAATAATAATAATAGATTACTTATACCCTGCCCACTCTGTAGGGTTTCCAACAAGAGATTAAAAATACATTAAAACCTCTGTCATTAAAAACTTCCCTAAAAAGGGCTGCCTTCAGCCCTATCTGCCTTCTAAACGTCAGATAGTTGCTTATTTCCTTGACATCTGGTGGGAGGGCGTTCCACAGGGCGGGCGCCACCACCGAGAAGGCCCTCTGCCTGGTTCCCTGTAACTTGGCTTCTCGCAGGGAGGGAACTGCCAGAAGGCCCTCGGAGCTGGACCTCAGTGTCCGGGCTGGACGATGGGGATGGAGACGCTCCTTCAGGTATACTGGGCCTTTGAGGCCGTTTAGGGCTTTCAAGGTCAGCACCAACACTTTGAATTGTGCTCGGAAACGTACTGGGAGCCAATGTAGGTCTTTCAGGACCGGTGTTACGTGGTCTCGGTGGCCACTCCCAGTCCCCAGTCTAGCTGCTGCATTCTGGATTAATTGTTGTTTCCGGGTCACCTTGAAAGGTGCCCAACCCACTAAGGAGGATAATAACGCAATACAGTGGTACCTCAGGTTGCAGACGTTTCAGGTTACAGACTCTGCTAACCCAGAAATAGTACCTTGGGTTAAGAACTTTGCTTCAGGAAGAGAACAGAAATCGTGCTCCGGCGGCACGGCAGCAGCAGGAGGCCCCATTAGCTAAAGTGGTGCTTCAGGTTAAGAACAGTTTCAGGTTAAGAACGGACCTCCGGAACGAATTAAGTACTTAACCTGAGGTACCACTGTACAAAACAGTGACGATTAATTGCACATTTCCCCCCAAAGCCAATTAATTCAGCAAAATGGATGAATCTGATCCGGTGACACAGGTGTTTCCAAGTCTGATATTCCTTTGCGCCTCCACCTGCTCCTTCTGTTGTGGCTTCTCCATCTAGTCCAGCCTCCTCTTCTCACAGTGGTCAGCCAGATGCCTGTGCGAAACCCACAAGCGGGATCTGAGTGCGAGAGCAACTCTCTCCCCTCCTGTGGTTCCCAGCCACTGCCACTCAGAACCATCGCAGAGCCATCGTGTCTGGCAGCCCTTGAGAGCCCTCTCCTCCTCCCTGAATTCGTCCCATCCTCTTTGAAATATACTCAGAGTCGAGAGCGGATTTCATGCTCTTTAGTGGTGAGGAGGAATGGAAGCTCCCCCAGAATGTCTGCTTTATATACGTAATTTACACAATGGGCCCCATGCGATTGGCTAATTCCGGGATTCTCCTGTAGGCCAATCAGGTTGCGGATTCACTTCCACCTGGAGCTGGATTGGGTGGCTCCTGCGGACCAATCAGACAGCTGCATTCTGGATCCTATTGTGCCTTTTGGATCCTATTCAACTCAGTACATAACACTCTTTTAAAGCCATCCAGGTCAGTGGCCATCCCTGGCGCCATTTAATCGGGAACATCTCCCCCTTTTTTTTCTTTGCAGGACTTTTCGCGGCTGGCCTGTTCTTCTCCCACGTTGCCAGAGCTGTTTTGGCACCTGCCCTCATCACTCTCTTCATGCGCCTGTGAATAGCCAGTGGCTCTGCAGCTGCTTCCTGAGCGAAGTGTGGAAATCCAGCCGCCTCCTGCCGTTTTCCAGTGCTCCCACTTCTCGTCCGCCCCTTGCTCTGGTTCCCCTTTGCAGTCAAACCTCGGTTGTCAAAGGTAATCCACTCCAGAAGGCCATTCGACTTCCGATTGGTCGCAGGAACTTCTTACACTCAAGTGGAAGCTGCGCCGGACGTTCAGGTTCCGAAAAATGTTCGTAAACCAGAGCATTTACTTTCCGGTCTTCGGCGTTCGGGAGCCGAAGCGTCCGAAAATGGAGCCGTTCGAGAACCGAGGTTTGACTATATTAGAAAATGAGAGAGAGAAGTCTGAATTAACATTTGCTAATTATTCCCCGTGATCCAGCTGGTTCCTCCCACCATTCCTCTGCACGCAACCAGTCCCTGGCAGGGAGGCACACCTCAGGATCTGCCGAGATTCCTGCACTGAAGGTCACTAGATGACCCCTGGGTTCCCTTCCAGCTCTGCAATTCTGTGATTCACACATGCTTCGGTGTTCCCAGGCATCACGTTCCTATTTCCCAGTGCTGATCCTCCAAAACCACTGCCTCGATTTTGTCCCTAATCAAAGACCTCAGTATAAGGATGATTCCTATGTTCCTATTTAAATCATCCCTTTATTTAAAATTCAGCCAAATTTAAAATGCTGTATAATTTGGAATCAATGTGATAATGTGATGTGATTGGCCTGTTAATAAAAATTATTTAAAAAAAAAATCATCCCTTTATGGTGAACCATGAGGACTAGCGTCTTATTTTTAGAGCAAAGGCTGTAGCTCAGCGGTACAACAAGCTGAAGGCTCCATGTTAGACCCCATCAGCATCTCCAGCTAGGGCTGGTCTGGAACCCCAGAAAGCCATTGCTGGTCAGGGTGGACCAACCTTCCCCAACCTGGTGCCCTCAGACTGGTGCTAAACTGCAGGCTGCTGGGATTCTTCCTCAGGGTTCAATCCCACGGGGTGGGGGGGCAAAGGTTGGCAGGCCCGGGTGGAAAAGATCAGTCCATTCCACTGTTGTAAATAAAATCTGCCCTTTTCCCTTATAGAGTCCTTACGTGGGTTCCCTATTGGCAGGAGAAAATAACAGGCCAAGCAGAGAATATTGAGAAGCAAAGCAGCTAGTAAGCCTGATCTTTAATGAACTGTTGCAACAGGATGCCTCCCTCACACGCAGGAAAGGAGGAGGACCCTGAACAAAGGTGTGCCCGCCCTTGTATAGACATTTTAAATTGCCCGCCTTGGAGTCCAAGACCACCCCCAGACACATCATACCTACATCACAGAAAAGGCGGTCTAAAACAGAAATTTGAATGTTGTTTACCTCCTGTCTGGCAAGTTACCTGTTAATGCTCACTTGATTGGATACCCTGGGAAGCCTGGCCAGTCTTTTGTAATGACAAATACTTAGTTCCTGAGCCAGGTCACAGCTCACACCCTATTCATATCTTAAATGTGCCCTTAAGACAGGATTTGTGAAGGAAAAAACAATGGGGAGGCTTTTTCCATTTTCCTTTGACCTTGCAGAGAAAACATTTGGTCAGTTTGGGACAGTTTGGGAATAAAAAATGGTTCCAGGTTGGTCTTCCTGTGCTGATCTATGTACGTGCTTGGTACACTTATGAACATTGAACATATCTCTAAGACCTCAGAATTCCTATCACAGGTCCAAGGGTTGGCAGGCTGGGCATCCTACGAGGACCCACATCCCTGCAGTTGGCATGGGTGGAAACAATCAGTCCATTCCACTCTTCTCAGTGTCTTCAGTCTTAAATTCAGTTCTCTGCTTTCCTTGCAGCAATTTGCCATTTTATTTTATTTCTTCAAAATCCTCATGGAAATTGGCCTGCCTTTTAATGTTAATTCTTCCTTAATGGAGGGTGTATTAAACTAAAATACCTGGGTTGGGGGTGGAGGATACCCAACCCCCCCCCCAGGCATTCTTGCATGTTATTTCCCTGCTACAATATGTTAACATGAAATAACCCTTTCCCTTAATAGATGCTTCTTCTGTGGGTGTTTTTTTTGGAGGGGGTGTAAAATATTCTTCAGTTGGAGAACTTCATTGCAAAATTCAGATCAGTTTGGGTTTCGAAAGATGGGTGTGTTTTGGTTCTTGCACAATTTCAGAGTGTGCTAATTTCACCAATTTGACTTTTCCTTGCTGCTTCTCTGTCCAGCAAGCAAGTGGGGGCAGCAAGAATAAGGAAAACAAGGAGGGGCCGCAAATAGCATCGGGGGGGGGGAGGTAGGATCACCAAAAGCCCTGCAAATCCCTGGCGCTGGCCCTATACAGCCCATTTGGCAGTTTCCTGGCAGGTCGCCATCTTTGCATGCGGAAGGTTCCAGGTTCGATCCCCGGCGACATCTCAAACCTCAGAGAGCCGCCGCTGGCCAGCACAGTCCAGACTTCCCCAACGTGGTGCCCCTAGGATGCTCCTCAACTCCGCAGATCCCGTCAGCCCCAGCCAGCTCAGCCGACAGCAGAGGGCGATGGAGATGGTAGCCAGAAACATCTGGATGGAACAAGAATCTGGAATCCTTTCGTTGCGACGCCTGCATCGCGGGGGGTTGGGCTAGATGACCTTTGGGGAGTCCCTTCCAGCTCTAAGATTCTGAGATGTGGCGAGGGAGCTTGAGGGGCACCTCTTCTTAGGTTTCCCTAAGGGATTTCATCCACAACCCAGCAGTATGTGAATGTGGGGGGTGTTGCAGGAATTTATGTATAGGTTGGGGGGGGTTGCCCCTCCAGCAGATCTCATGCACATGCAGCCCACTACCAAAACCAGCACAATCATTTTTGTGATTTGTCCCCACAAAACACTTCATCACAGTTTCTTCCTATCTATTCAAAGGGCCTTTGCTGCATGATACCAAATGTGATAATTCACTGATCAATGTATTTATGCACTGGCTCACTGGGAAAATTTCAGAAATCCGTATAGACATGTGAGCTCAGCTACTCAGCAGCCCCTCTGCCTGAGTGATAATCCCTGGCCTCCTGATACCTGAGTGCCAGACAGGTAGCCATTCCATAAATAACAAACCCAGATGAAGACAAAAGGGTGGGATGAACTGGGCTGGGAAACAGGGAAATGTAAAGATCTCTTTTCTTACACTTGATGGGTGTTTGGTGGAGGGCAAGGGGAACCAAGGGGCAGGGTCCAGGATGCTCAGATTACGGCCACCAGACCTCCCCTTTCATGATGTAACTGTGATGTATTACTGATGTAGTTTGGGGGGGTGTAACATGGGGATTAGCAGCTAATAAAAGTTTGGGTTCTCTGTTGTTGGGGGCTTCCATCTTGTTCCACCTTGTGGCAGGTGGGAGTCCTGTCCAGTCTTCAATAAAGACCAAGCCTACTGGCTGCTCTGGTATTCCTGGCTGGTGTCCTTGTTTTTTGTCCAAGGGAGCCCTCAGATTTCTCCATTAACAGAGGGACCAGGGATTTGTCATTGTCTGTTAATAACTCCAGCTTGAATAAAGAACTCTAACCTGTCAACCATCAAGAGGTTAGGCCTCAAAACCTAGTAGAATAAACATCGCCCACTAATGGGATCTCAGGAAAACTAAAGGAAATCCCAGATCCTAAGCAATCAACTTCCTACAAGACTCCTCAAGGAAACCCTATATACTCAAATCTACCCAAAAATGCTCATGACAAAAGAGCCCGAACAGTCGGAATTTAATTCTAATCAAACATAAACTTGTCTTCCTACCCCTCTCAAATACAGAGGATTCCCCACGAGACAATATTCTCAAGAAAATCGACTTAGCCATTAGAGGTCTCGTCTCAGCAAAAAATATTATCAATGTAAAATTTCTCTCATTTGACAAGATCCAAAATAGAGCCGTGGTGACCTTTAGGGACTGGTCTCCAACCAAACACATTTTAGCCAATAAAGACAAGCTCCAAAGGGCCGAACTGTTGGTGATCCGTCTTTTTGGAGATTTCGGTGACCCTTCACCGCTCAGAGAAACACACAAGTTTGTTAGACTAAAAACAAAACCGGAAAAGTCTATAACACTGCGGAGAATTGCAAGCCGCCACAGCCAGAAGCAGACAAAGTCCCCAAACAGATGGTTAAGCTTCAAAAAAACTTATCCTCTTCTTTCTTGGGCCCGGTCTTATTCAACATCTTTATCAACGACTTGGATGATGGACTCAGGGGCATCCTGATCAAATTTGCAGATGACACCAAACTGGGAGGGGTGGCTAACACCCCAGAGGACAGGATCACACTTCAAAACGACCTTGACAGATTAGAGAACTGGGCCAAAACAAACAAGATGAATTTTAACAGGAGAAATGTAAAGTATTGCACTTGGGCAAAAAAATGAGAGGCACAAATACAAGATGGGTGACACCTGGCTTGAGAGCAGTACATGTGAAAAGGATCTAGGAGTCTTGGTTGACCACAAACTTGACATGACCCAACAGTGTGACGCGGCAGCTAAAAAAGCCAATGCAATTCTGGGCTGCATCAATAGGAGTATAGCATCTAGATCAAGGGAAGTAATCGTGCCACTGTATTCTGCTCTGGTCAGACCTCACCTGGAGTACTGTGTCCAGTTCTGGGCACCACAGTTCAAGAAGGACACTGACAAACTGGAACATGTCCAGAGGAGGGCAACCAAAATGGTCAAAGGCCTGGAAACGATGCCTTATGAGGAACGGCTAAGGGAGCTGGGCATGTTTAGCCTGGAGAAGAGGAGGTTAAGGGGTGATATGATAGCCATGTTCCAATATATAAAAGGATGTCACATAGAGGAGGGAGAAAGGTTGTTTTCTGCTGCTCCAAAGAAGCGGACACGGAGCAATGGATCCAAACTACAAGAAAGAAGATTCCACCTAAACATTAGGAAGAACTTCCTGACAGTAAGAGCTGTTTGACAGTGGAATTTGCTGCCAAGGAGTGTGGTGGAGTCTCCTTCTTTGGAGGTCTTTAAGCAGAGGCTTGACAACCATATGTCAGGAGTGCTCTGATGGTGTTTCCTGCTTGGCAGGGGGTTGGACTCGATGGCCCTTGTGGTCTCTTCCAACTCTAGGATTCTATGATTCTATGAACCAAAACAAAGATATCCTCAACTCTAACCTGTCCAGCAGGTGGCAGCAATGAACTGTGTTGGGTTCTGAAAGAGGTTTTTTTTCTTCCGCCTTATGTGATTTCTTTCAATGGCAGGGCATATCCCACAGGGGAAAGGAGTTTGTGAGTGTGTCTGCGGGGAGGAAGGGATCATGATGACCTAGCCTGATGAGGAACAGTCGAGGGAGTTGGGGATGTTTAGCCTGGAGATGGAAGACTGAAAGGTGACAGGAGAACCGTCTTCAAACACCTGAAGGGAAGACGGACCAAGCTTGTTTTCTGCAGCTCCACAGCGGGAGACCTGAAGCGATGGACAAAAACGGACTGGGAAGGAGATTCCGACTCAACACAAGCAAGAACTTTCTGATGGTAAGAGCCGTTAGACAGCGGGACGGACTCCCTCTCCTTCCTTGGGAGTTTTTAAATGCAGGTGGGATGGCCATCTGCCAGGGATTCTTGAGCTGTGATTCCTGCATTGCAGAGGGTTGGACTAGATGACCCTTGGAGTTCCCTTCCAACAATTCTCTGATTCTAGGATCGGAAAAGGGGATGTCTGCCAGGTTGTGTGAATGAGCGTCTGGGAAGTCAAGGCCCTCGGGGGCATCCCTTGAGCTCCTGCATTGCTCAGATGGCTGGGCAAGGAGGACACAGGTTGGGAATGTGCCCCTTTGGCACTTTGGCCAGTGTGGCGTAGTGGTTAAGAGCGGTAGATTCGTAATCTGGGGAACCGGGTTTGCATCTCCGCTCCTCCACCTGCAGCTGCTGGGTGACCTTGGGCCGGTCTCTCGGAGGAAGGGAAAGGAGATTGTGAGCTGCTTGGAGACTCCTGAAGGGGAGTGATAAAGCGGGATATCAAATCCACACTCTTCTTCTTCTTCTCAGGGGGGTGCATAAGTTCTCCCCCAGGCTGGGTCAGATGAAGGCAGGAGCTGGTGCCTCAATGGTGTAGCGATTCAGGTCGCAAAATGTCGGGAGGGGCAGGGGGCACCCTTGGATCATGGCCCTCCTCTGCCGCAGGTGAGGGCGACTGATTTCCTGGACCTCCTCTGTCCATCCTATGCAGAACAAGGCTGTGTGTGTGTGTGTGTGTGTGTGTGTGTGTAGGGTGCTGTTTTGTGGTGGCACCATTGGCACACTTTTATCAAGATATGGGAACCAGCTCTTCCAGTGCTTTTTTCCCTGGAATATAAGGTGGGGGAACTCGCCTGTTTTCTGCAGCTCCAGAGTGGAGGACAGGATGGATTCGAGTTGCAAGAAGGCAGATGCTGACTAACATTAAGAAACAAAATTAAAAAATTCCTTCCAGTAGCAGCTTAGAGACCAACTAAGTTTGTGTTTTATATATATATAGGGGATGCAGGTGGCGCTGTGGGTAAAACCTCAGTGCCTAGGACTTGCTGATCGTATGGTCGGCGGTTCGAATCCCCGTGGCGGGGTGAGCTCCCGTCTTTCGGTCCCAGCTCCTGCCCACCTAGCAGTTCGAAAGCACCCCTAAGTGCAAGTAGATAAATAGGTACTGCTTTATAGTGGGAAGGTAACGGCGTTTCCATGCGCTGTGCTGGTGCTGGCTTGCCAGAGCAGCTTTGTCACACTGGCCACGTGACCCGGAAGTGTCTCCGAACAGCACTGGCCCCCAGCCTCTTAAGTGAGATGGGCGCACAACCCTAGAGTCGGACACGACTGGCCCGTACGGGCAGGGCTACCTTTACATATATATATGTGTGTATATATATATATATATATATATATAGTTATTTACCAATAACAAACTTAGTTGGTCTCTAAGGTGCTACTGGAAGGATTTTTTTTATTTTGTTTCAACTACAGCAGACCAACACAGCTACTACCTGTAACATTAAGAGGAGTCTCCTATTGCATCTCCCCTCTTTCTTTCTTTCTTTCTTTCTTTCTTTCTTTCTTTCTCTCTCTCTCTCTCTCTCTCTCTCTCTCTCTCTCTCTGTCGGTGATGCGCTAAGTGGTGGCTCTCATTCCATCCCCGGACGTTGGCAGGCAGTTGAGGAGTCTCCAGAAATGATATTTAGCCCAGACACTTTGGGTCCCCTCAGGACTCTCGGTGACATCTTTGCGAGAGACATTAGGCAGCTCTGGGCTGCGTTGGGAACTGGAGAAGGATTTGATTTCTCTCTCTCTCTCCCTCTTACCCAGGAGGGAATCCCAGGCTGTGAGGGATGTTGGCCCCTGAGCTGTCAGAGTCTGAGTTCCCAGCATTGCAGGCAGGCGGCATTTTGCCGCTCTCTTGAAGGACCACATGAGCAAAAAGGAAGCCTCTAAATCAGTCAAGCAGCATTCAACGGATCAATCGATCAGTCGCCTTATTTGTATGCCGCCTTCCCAAAGTTAAAACTCTGCTCAAGGCAGCTTGCAACGCACTTTTTAAAATTGCAGCCATAACAAAAGTAGTCATAAACCATAAACGAGACATCCAACCGACCAAATTGAACCATTTCCACCTGGCAGTGGAACAGACTCCCCCAGAAAGTGTTGGACTCTCCTTCCTTGCACGTCTTTAAGCAGAGGCTGGGTGACTGTCTCTCAGGGATGCTTGAGTTGAGATTCCTGCCTTGCACTGGGTTGGGCTAGATGAGAGCTGAGGGGCCCCTTCCAACTCTACAATTCCATGATTCTGTTATTCTAAGATCCAAAATAAAGATAAATTAACAGCAGCAACAGCAACAATGACCCCCCCAACAAAAACATCTAAACAATATCTCAGCTCAGGATTCGAACCCGGAGCCCTCTTCCCCTCCTGCAGTTTCCCGTCACTGGTATTCGGAAGATTTTGGCCACAGAGGCACAGACCACAGACATCGTGGCTAGCAGCCATTTATGTATTTATTTTACAGAAACTGTGCACCGCTTGAATGTAAAACCAAAAGACTGAAAGTCGTTTACAAAAAGATAAAACAAGAAAATTGGGGGGGGGGGAATTACGACAGTTTGAAACATGCAAACAGTTAAAATACTAAAGCAGATTTAAACACACCAGCTTTCTAAAACTCTGGGCAGACTTGTCTAAACAAAAATGGTTTTTTTGGTTTTTTGCAGGCGCTGAAAAAAGAACAGCGAAGGCGCCTGCTTGATATCAATAGGCAGGGAGTTCCAAGGATAGGCATTGCCACACTAAATGGACGAGTCCTTACAAATTTCAGAATGGGGGTTATGTGGCACCAGCGGCAATGCCAATTCCACCCCTTAAAGTGATTGAGAGGGCACATGTGGGCTCAAGCGATTTCAAAGGCAGGCGGGTTCCAAGTTGCTAAGGGCTTTG